TTACGGTTAGTTTGTAAGCAAATCATTTTTTTGTGTTTTTTTTTGATTTTCTTAAGCAATATTTGGTACATAAAAGTAATAATTTGTTCATTGGTTGTGGTTATGTGATGTTATGCAACCCAACATGCAGTTTTAAGGTTAGTTCATAAAGAAATAAATTTTTTTTGTTTTTTTTTGTTTTCTTAAGCAATATTTACGCACAAATTACGAAAAAGGAAAATTACGACTTTGTGAAGCGTAAGAAAATATCTACATAAAACAAAACTAATTAAAGATATACGAAATATCAACGACTGCTCCCTTGTGCGGGGAACACTCGGCGTTAATTATTTTTCCGCCCGCTGTCGAGCGTCCACCTTCGCTTCGTTTTGATTCTTTTGTTTCATCGTTATATTTTCGCTTTTTGCCAGGCTCGCGTAATTCCTGTTAGACCCAACTCCGCGCAGTGCTACGTTTGGGGGCGGGCGGCGGCGGCGGCGGCGGCGGGAGTGCATACACCGTTGAGCCGATGTCGCGCGTACTTATTTGGAAATGTCATTTCGCTTCGTTTGGCCTTCCGCTCCCTGATTATTTAATTCACTCGCTGATAATGAGAGAAACGAACCGAGAAAGATAATTACGTCGGAAAATACGGTGCCGCCGCCGCTGCCGGTGTCGCGCGAGTTTCATTTGCGCCGCGCTCTTCTTCATTCTTCGCCGGGCGTGCTTATTGTGTAGAGCTGTATATGCAGCGCGGCGCTGAAGTTTACCGACCGGTGTAATGATAACGCAACATAAGAAGGCGAAACACCGAAGACGGAGGCGGCGCTGATAATTTACTTGTTGTGGAAAATGCAAAACTTGCGAAACAAACCTCGAAAGTGCGCGCCGCGTACGCTAATTTGAATTTATGATGCATTTTTAAACTTTACAACTTAAACTGAATTTATATTTGCACGCGAAAAATAAATTTCTATAAAGTTGGGAATTTCTGCAATTGATTGACGTTTATTGACTTTGAAAGAAACGTAGAAATCAATCAACTGGTTTTCTTACAATAACTGCGGAACAATCGTTCGCAAATCGCCCCATTTTAGCACACTTTTCACTTTGGCGCAACTTCCACATCCGGCGTGACCCTCGCTCGCGCATATGAATGAAAAGAAATTAAGAATCCCGTCCCACTTGCGGTGCTTCCTAATTTCTTTCATTCCCGTCCACTACGATGTCTCCCGACTTTTAGCGCCAAACAAAAGACGTTTCTTTTCTTTTTTTTTCTTTCCACGCGGCTTTTGTGCTTCGGCGAAATTTTGCGAAAAAGACGCGTACGTACATTTATATGCATATGCATCCCCTTTTCTTTTCGTTTCTCAACAGCGGGAGCGAGGGCGCCACGCGGGGCGTCGCTGATTACGGCCTCCGTTACAGTAATTGCATGCTTGGTTCACACGGAATCGCCGGCACTCCCAGCCGCATTCTGCGACAAGTTTTCGGGGCTGTACGGGCATTCAGCGCATTCCGCGGGGCGCTTATTATTTCGCTTTCTTACTACAATTTACCCATCTATTAGCACACTGCGCTGCATGCGCCAGGGAAACACCTTCGTTAGTAAAACGCATTCCCGAACATAAATAAAATATTTGATTTTTAAATCGATGGGATGTGTCAATATAACCACACAAAACACATTTTAGTGTATAATTGGTTGCATACCTTGAATTTTTCAGTCAAAATGATTTCATCCTTGATATATCACTCATTAAACTCAATTAAACTTTATTCTTTGGTACGTAATTAAGATATGCCTTCGTCGTTAAACAAATCTAACTTTTCGCTAAACTGTTAAACTGTGGGAAATACAATTATGGAAAATTGCGCCGCGAGCGCAAACACACGTAACAAACGTCGAACGCCGCTGGAAATCTTATTATGCGCGCAAAACGCCTTTGCGTGCTCCGTACACCCGAGGGCTGAAGGCAGTGGAGGGTTGTGATATGCGTCTTGAGAGAGTATTACCGAAAGCACCAAAAGCAGCAAAGCAAACACCATTCATGCACGGCATACAATAGCCAACGTTTCCTTTAAGTAGTTATTCAACTCTCCACACCTCATTCGTTTTACATCTTATTGTAAACACAAATATTCAATTTCAGTGTAAGTAAATACGCATGAAACTGTAGTGCTGGTAGTAATATGTTGATTTTTCCAATCGCTTTGCTCGTAATTCAAGCGCGCGCGAAAATAAATTACTAATAAATATGATGATTTTTAATTAATCGCGTCATTTGCTCCCATTCTAATTATTGTTTTTAATTATCAAACGTGCACGCGTTTGCTTTTTGTATTTTTTCTCTGCGTGTTGTTTTTTTTTTAATTATCGCGCTGCCACATTTTGCGTCTGTTTTTCCACGACTGGATGGTTCCGGGGCAGCGAACGCAATTAAAAATCGTCCGAAAATAAAATAAAATTGCTCATTGAACGCTTTGTGCGCGTGACATGCGTATCGTGCACGTTTAATAACAATAATCAGTGGCGGATTACGGCCTAGGCGCACTAGGCGCGCGCCTAGGGCCCCGGCTGCCTGGGGGGCCCCGGCTGCCTGAGGGGCCCCTGGCACTTATATGTCCCATATAGACATAGTAATTCCACAAATACTTCATCAGTTGGTTTTGACCTCAGCCTTTATGAATAACGTATTGGTTTTCACTTGGCGCCCAAAACGGCATTTCACACGTGTCCGCAAAGCAACCGTCACGGATATATAGCTGACTTAAAACTTTTTATCTCCGATTTTATTTCTTTATGACAAACTGTTTAAAATAAAATTTGGATGTTTTCTGCCACGAATTTTTGTGACCTTTTCTTGAATATTGCATTAGAAAGTTGTAGCTATAATGCGAGTAGTATATTGCCAATTTTTTTTAAATTTCGAACATCTGTGGAGGAGATGAGTTGAGGAATATTCCATTGAGGTTGTAAAATAGCGGGTAACTCTCTTTTTTGGGATATTAATTATTTCGTCTTTCTATCATTTTTTACATTTGCGGAACACGTTGTACCAACGTTTATACTCCTACAATTTTTATCTAGATTTTTGGGGTGGTAGTTGGATTAAAAAAAAAAAAAACAGAGTTCAAAAGAGTTCGATCAATTTGAGACGGCACTGTTAACAATTTTCTGGAACAAACTCCTACAGAGAATCGAAATTACCAGCAAATACTTACAGGAACCAAAGACAAATATTCTTAATAGTGTTAGTTTATTAAAATCATTAAACGAATTTATAACAGTGGTCAGAAATAATTTCGAAACTGTTGAAGAGGAGGCTAAATCCCTAACAGCTCATCATTCTTATAAAGAGATGAGACAAAGAAAACGCAAATATCCATATGATGAAACGAACAAAAATGATACAGCATTTTTGTCAAGAAATTTTTTTATTGTCAACATTTTTTATATTGTATGTGATGTATTAACATCAGAAATTACTCGAAGGAGCGATGTCTATATCAATGTTCTTAACGATTTTAAAATTTTCTTTGATTTAAAATTAAGCCGTGTTGAGACTAATAATTGTGTAGAGCGATTATTGTCTAAGTATGAAAAAGATATTGAGCCAGAATATTTCACTGATGAGTTAACTCATATTCTAAAATACATACAAGAAGAAAATATTAGAGATCCACATGAAATGTATGCAACATTAAGTAATGGTCTAAAATCAACTTTTCCAAATATACACACAATACTGCAAATTTTTTTGACCTTGCCCGTTTCTAATGCAAGTGGAGAAAGAACATTTTCAGTTTTAAAACGAGTCAAAAACTATCTGCGCAATAGTCTTTCACAAGAGCACTTAAATGACTTCGCATTAATGTTTATAGAAAATGATATTTTAAAAAAACTAGAGTACGACAAAATTATTGAAATCTTTGCCCAAGAGAAGGCAAGAAAAGTAAATTTGTAATTTGTATTTAAATACGATTACCGTTTTTGAGCACACGTACGATGAACTCGAGAACCAAGATAGCATTGAAAACGATAATCCCATCGCGGATAGTATGGCAGAAAATTTTACCTGTGATATTTCGATCGGTTCTGAAAACAATTAACGCACAACACCTGGTCCATCGCGAAGAGCGAATCGGAAGATAATCCATTAAATTTTGGAATAGTGCGTGAGGATTAGGCCTGCTGGGGATACCACGATAAAAAAAAACGCGCCACGTACTCTACCTCATGGTGGTGAGGAAATGAGTTTTTGGCACAAACGAATGTTGAAGTAGACTTTGCGGCGCCCGTACGCTAAAACTATTAATTTTACTGGGCTAATAACCGTTTTTGAAAATTTTCGGATTTAGGGGCCCCAAACTTGATTTGCGCCTAGGGCCCCACTGAAGCATAATCCGCCACTGACAATAATTGCTGGTTAATTCCTGCTCGCACACACAATGCCATTGCCGATTGATCGGATCCGAAAAGAATAAATTAATAAATCCCAGCGCACCAACAACACCCATTATCGGTTACGGGCATACACATAATGCGATTGTGGTTAATCGCATAAGTGGAAAAAGAAAAAAAAACGCGCGTGTTTTCTGCATTTCGTGCACCCATTCTGATGAGGCAATGCAATGCTCACCACGGGGTGGTATTACTTATTCTAAACTGACTCTGTTCAACTCGGTTACTCAACCGGCTACTAATGCGCATCTACGCACTCGAATGGTGGTGAGGCATTGAAAATTAAAGATTTCGTCGGATACACATGGTGTGCTATGGGTGCTCCACGCTGTGTCTCATTTCGATTGTTAGGAAACAAGTAGCGCTCGAGTACGCGTTGCAACGGAAACATTTCAAGAGGCAATTTGATGTGAAAAGTGCCAAAATATTTTGTAACCTACAAGTACCAATCCAATCTTAACACCTGCGTACACAAAAATAAATTGTGTTTATATTTTTGTGTATTTTGGGTTGCATACGTTAAGTCTGAGGTTATAATCGTATCCAATATGTCAGTTTATATCATTCTGCATGGAATGAGCAGATTTTAGCCCATAAAATTCAGTATCCATGCAGAAGTGTGGCCCCTCTTTATATAATAAAGCTGATAGCAAGAAAATGCGACATTTTCTAAGGGAACTCTTTGCGCTACCAAACTCGATTCCTCCCTATTATGCTCCGGCACTTTTTCTTTCCGCCCATTCTCGGCGTCGCATCGCGGAATATATACGAGTGTGTATATTTCAGAATTGGAAGAGATAGCGACTTCTTACTTCTACACGCCTCGGCGTGCCATTCCGCGCTAAACTTTTGCCATTTTGCGTGCTCGCTAGAACGAAGTGTGAAGCGATAAAGCTAACTAGTTCCTCGCCGTTCGCTCGAACCCTCATCGAGGTACCACGTTCCACATTGCACCGAAGAGATATGAAAGTACAAACACGTGAGAGCGAAGAAGTAACAACAAAAGCGCGATATGACGCTGAGCGCGAGCGAGAATAACCGAAAGATAAGGCATAATATGTTGTCGCGCATAAAACCAAAAACACGAGAGGAGAACATGCAAAAGTCACGAGGTGTCTGTGTCGTACATGGAAGAGACAGGCATAAATTACGCGCTAATAGGGAGAAGAAATTGTAGCGTTGGTGGAGGCGCCTCCCGGGTGTAGCTGAAGCAAATCCAATTGTCGCCGAGCGAGCATCTTTGCATTCGCTTTTGCATGTGTGGTTGGGAGTGAGTTAACGTGCTTAACTGGTATGATCGGCACTCGCGTGGAAGTTATGTTAATAATCTTAAGTGTATAGTCACACTTGGCAGCTTCATAAACTCATCTGAAATATAAAACGTACAAAATGATTAATTAGGTTAAAAAACACATTGAAATAAATAAATGAAGCAATGGAAAACATAAATAGCGAAATGGGATTCGTTCGAATTCGAATTGGTAGGACCTAGGAGATGAAGGGTGGGCGGGCGCGGGTTGGGAATGAAGTGCGCGCTCCACTGACGATCCAAACAACTGGAAAATGAATTTCCTTCATCGAATCCATCCCAGTTAATTTACGACTGAAGCTGTTTATAGACAGATAGACATACAAGCGGACCATCCGCAGGATACACACGAATACACTACCCGGCCCTCGGCTGATACCAGCACCCACGAAACCAAAATTCACGAAGACGCGCAGAACCAGCTTTTAGACTATATTCTATACTATACGAGATCTTCTCTTAGCGACGTTAGCATGTTGCAAGCGGAGGCGAGGCGACCAGATCAATCAGTAGCATATATACGGAGGCATTCTTGCAAGACGCTGATAAGATTTATACCATACCCCCGTATAGCATACTCGTTACGCTGAGTATAAGGCTAGGAGTTAATACCGCAAGCACGCCAGTGCCGACGGCGAACGAAATAGGAAATATGCGGCACTGGGGGTGGCGCCACGTGGATAAACCCGGCGGCTTAGCATGTCTCCAGTATGCAGGATGATAACCATTCCATGCTGTATAGAAGCAAATCTCCAATAAGTTCATATTTGGATTATTTTACTTAGATTTAGGCTGAAATTTGATTAAATATGGTTAAAAATTGTACGGTCTTGGTTGATATATACTGTAGGGGGAGTTACACTTTATAAATCACGGTATAAATCATCAAGACGCGTCGACGAGGGTCCCCGGTGCGAGATAGGTGCGATGCGTGTGTCCCAGCAGGATATAATGGCAAAGTTTCGGCCGGTTCCGCCGTATTATCGGCCTGGTTCAGCAGAGTGGCTGCGGATGGTCGGCCGCTTCTGATTACCGATGATTGATGATGAACACCGCCAGAGAGGAGCAAAAGCCAACTTCTACATCCGAAAAAATAACTTTAACCTTAAAATTTCGGGAAAGGTATTACAATTACTCGTTGAATTTAGTTCGGTATTATGCATTGGTGTTGTGTGTGTTGCCGATGTACGACTTGTTGGAGACGTGACAAATTTATTCGCATTATTCCGATAAGTTGAACACATACACTGTTAATATTATTATAGATGGAGATGTAAACGCGACGGTCCGCCCCGACGAACGCCGGAGCCGGAGAAAGCCACGGTAATAATTCTGCGCATTACTCAATTAGTTTCGGTGTGTGCAATTGCAGAGCTGATGGCGACAATAAAGGGCAGCGCACACACAATTGCTGGATATGTGTGTGTGGGTAGATCCATAAGAACGACAATGCCGTTTCGACATCTCGCTACAATGCGCAAACAGGGGTGATGCGACGTCGTTGATTATGTTATTTTATTTTCCACGCCAGTGAGGGTTGTATGAATATCTGGAGTGTTCGCAATCGTCACGCAATAATTAGAAGTACTTACTGTTTCAGCATCAACATAAATCAACACCAAATGGAGCTGTCGTCATCGATAAACTTCACGATTTAATAAAAGTCGTGTTTTTGAGTTTTCACGAAGAAATCTTTTGATATTCACCCTAAAAATAGTTTCTATTCATTTTTAGGAGTCTATTATGTCACTGGGCAATATTTTAACGCACTCATTCAAGAATTTTACTTTTACACTTTGAAGACGAGTGTGTTGTGGCAGATTTTACTCACACAATATACCAGCAGATGTTTACATCTCTCAAAATTTCCGTAGGTAAGTTAACATATTAGTCCCTAAATTTGAACAAATCTAACATAACCATTGGGCTTTGTATTGCTAAAGAGGAACATTACTCTTGGGTTTGAACGCTTCCACACCCCACGAGCGTGTCAATCGCTTTCAGACCCAATTCAGGTCATTGTAATAAATTACCATCAATAAAATGTGTTGTAAGGGATGCAAGCTACACAACTGCTAATCACTGGATGAAGAATTAAACGAAAGTAATGATAGAAAAGAGAATGGGCATGAAATTGCAGCGCGCGCACGCGAACAAGTGGAAAAGGTAAATAAAAACAGCAAGTCAAGTGTGCATCATCGAGTTGGATCATTCTAGTTGGATCAGTGGCCAGTAAATGGAGTGCATGGAGCCGTAGGTAAACAAATGAACACCTAATCGAATCACCGCCGACGCCGAACCGCATTCGGGTACGACTATGAGCCGCTAACGGCTTGAGACTGGTCGAAAAGAGGGTTGAACACTTTCAACTTCAAATCAATTGCAATTGCACATCAACACTAAAAATTACACACTATTTACATAGATATTATTCTATAAAAATTTAAAAATTATTTTTTTGTGTTTTTAGTGCAATGCAACGCAACAACAGCAACATGTTTGGTCTGCAAGCTTTGGATAAAATATCGAATTACACGTCGGTACGCACGTACGCAAATTAATTCCGACTCATCGGACCGAATGTCTCCTCTCCTAGACAAAGTCCTGTATACTGATATATTTTTCCTCTTGGTGTGTGTGTGTGATGCAACGTAACGCGATATCATACACGTCCGTCACGCATATTACCTCGCCGGCGACCACTTTGCTCTCTTGCATCTATAAAAACACTGCCGGTGGACTGCTTGGTTACCTTGGTTACCTCTACATCTACCTACATATTGACGGGTGGACGGGGAAAAACGAAGCCAACAAGCCGATCGCCCGATACGATCTGTCCGCTTAATTTGGTACCTAAATGACGAAAATGCGAAATGACTTGCGAGACGCGATTTTTCTTCACGACAAGCACGTCGAGAGCGCCATCGGTGGTCCAGGCGTCACCGGTCCACTCGGACACTGATGGGACCTTATAACAGGTGGTTTTTTTCATCAAACTATAACCTGATTCAATTTCTTTTCAAATGTGGATTAATATTACCTACGTGGAGATTAGATCAAAAAGAATAAAAGTGAATAACACTCATTTACATAGTCGCATCTCATTAAAATATTCATAAAATTTTATTAGATCACATTACTATCAGTAAAAGTTTTAAATTACTCATTAAATAAAAGTGAATTAATAGAAATATAATACAATACTTTAAAAGACTATAAAGTTTCATTTTCTTATCAAAAATCAACTGAAAAGTTAATTTTTAAAGTAAATAAAATGAATTTTGATGTTATTTTGTATTAAGGTGTAATTTTACGCAAAGCCACGTGTAGAAAACAGGCGTGTCCGTTTACATCTCCACCCTTGGGAAGATCGATATCAGGACACACCCACTGTACCCTTCCAGAAGTGTAGGGAAGTCGCGCTGCACGCTATGTCGACAAACGGTAAACGCTATTCTTTCTCTCTATTGTGCATGTTCCGCTTGTAAAGTGAGCAAGTATTACACCGTGGACAATGCAATAAAAAGAGAAGCATATACACAAGCAGTAAAGTTGGGAAGAAGTGGAAGGAGTCCACACATTGAAGAGTTTTAAACCTGTGTTAACTTAACACGTATTATGTTAATTTATGCTATAACAAACCGTTTAACTTGATATAACAAGTTTTGAGTTTAGTTTTGTTCAGTTTTTGATACCTGCGTAATTTCCCAAATACGAAACATAGATGTATGGAATATAGATGAGTCCTTTATTCCTGATGCACTATTTTTTTTTTTTCGATCCACGCATGAAATACATGTGTGTGTGTGATATATAAGAAAAAGGGAAAACCCAGGCGCGAGTTGCAATCATTCCGCATGTCTAACCGTATTTCCGATATGATTAGAGACACCCGTTCACGGTAGTACTGCCGGATGGAGGAGAAAGGCACGACGCCAAAATCGTAACAAATCCCTCGAGCTTTGCGCTCTGCCACCGCCAACCCACCCCGAAAACCACACCGTTGAGACAAACAAACCGCACATGCTTTACATGCAATTCTACAATGAAAAAACAAAATTTTTGAAAATTTTTTTTGTGATTTTAGGTTCAAAATAAGCGAAAAATATCAAGTTTTTGAAATTCGCTTGAAATCTGTCGTTGTACGTTGACCAGATGCTGGCCGATGCAGTATTAGGGCTTCCCGGAGCTTTGTGAGATATCAAAACATGACTGTGTGTTTGAGGAGCGCTCCGCAAGCAAAGAGATCAAAGAAAAATTCACTTTTTATATTAATATTTGGATGGATACACCGCGCGTACTCCTCGGGTAAGAATAGCTTTGTTTTTGGCTTCTGGGTGGGATGATTCTTTGATGTTTTTGACCTCTCGTTGTTTTCCTCTCTGCTAATTAATACCAGTATCATTTAAACACAAAAATTTATATTTTTTTAGTCGGAAACTTTTAGTTTTCTATGCGGAAACATAGTGTAGTAGTCAAAAAATGTAAAATTTTTACTTTTGCAGTTTAGGAAAAGCTCGGCACCCTCGTCGATGACGCCGACGATGGTGATGCTCGCCTGTGGATTCCGCTCCCGGTATAATGTGCTCGCGGAAGCGTTATGTCGGTGCGGAGGAGGCTGGGTGGCTGGTTCGGAACCCCGCTCTCGCGCGAGGGAGGAACGCATTGGACTGTACGTAACAGCTGATGTCACTCTTTTCCCCTTTTGTGTGCGCGCTGCGTGCGTATAGCCGCCCCGCGCGTGCTGCTGAGAACGACTTTTCATTAAAATTATTATTTGCAGGGAATGCCGGCGCGATAATTTCATAAAATATGTATTCGTGCCCGCGGCCGCCTTATCGGTTACGGCATCTCATGCGAACCACGAACCAGTCAAAAGTGCGTACGCACTGAAGAAGGGTTATCAACGTATTACATTAAACGATGTACAGGCATGGAAAACGGAAAACTTGCAGCGAGACGCTGTTGTCTTTAACTTTGAATTATTCAAATTCAAACAGTGCCACTTTATAGCGGAAATTTTAAGATCATCTAAAGTCAAAAATTTAATATGCGCACAAATATTGATGTTAGTATTAAAATTTTATCATAATAACGCTTTAAATTTAAAAACTTGCATTTATTGCAAAATTTGTGATTCATAGTTTAGGGGTAGTTTTAAATTGGACATTAGAGGATATCCACGAGAAACCCCCAAGTGTGTGTGCAGCGATCCGTCCTGACCCAGATATTGTCAGATTTAAAATCGAAACAAATTGGGATTAAGCATCACGGTGATTTAAACACCACCCTAATATCTAGTATGTGAATCATACCTTATGTTGGTATTGAATATGAAACGGAGAAAAAGTTGAAAATTTTACAAAAAAATATTATTTTGTGTATTAAGTGCGCAAAATTTCATTTTAAACACGCAAAATTTAAAAAATTATAAAATAAGTTTTGAAATATTTCTGAAAAAATAATAATTTTGTAATAAAAAATTAATTTTTGAAAATTTTTGACAATTTTACGCACTAGTGTTTAAAATTTATACTTTAAACACGCAAATATCACTAAAAAACATTAAAATTTGGTAAGATTTAACTTTTATGCAACAAAACAATAATATTTCAGCACTAGAACTAAAAAATATTTTTTCAAATAAAAAATTAAAAATGCTTTAATTTTAATTTTGCTGTGCACTAGTGTGTAAAATTTATGCTTTAAACACCCAAATATCACTAAAATTTTCCAAACAACGATATTTCAGTACTAGTGCTTAAAAATTATTTAAAAAAAAATTAAAAATAAAAGAATGCTTTGCTACTTTTGCGCACTAGTGCATACATATAATATTTTACACACGCAAATTCTAAAAACAGCATTAAAACTATATTTTAAAAGCTCTTGCACTCAATATTTAAAAATAAGATATTTGTGTTGCGCTTGCGTACCTTGGCGCCTCCGCAGCGCCCTAAAAACAATGGTAGGGCCCGCATGAGCCGGTATTCGTCGCGCCGTGGCTCCCTCTGTTCTTTGGAAGCCCCTCACGCATGAAGGGATCGCATTGAGTGAAAATCGATGGGCGAAAACCAACCCCTCAACAAGTCCGGATTGGCGGCATGCACCACAACAGCCGACGCCGATTGGTCGACGCGGGTCCACAGTGGCAGAGGGATGCAGCGGCGGCGGGGCGCGCACACACCTCACGGTGGAAAGGTAGCGGGCCTTTGGTGGTGCGGCCGCGGCAGCCGCTCGCAGCGGAGCGAGCGCGTGATGCATTATCAGTCGGTCGCTGCGATCAGGTGCTTGAGGACGGAGAACGCTCTCCGCCGAAGACACACACACACACACCGGTCAAGCGACGACGTGAATACTACGCGCGCGGTCATCTCATTAGTGACGACTCATTAGTCGTTCAAGTGTCCGTCGCGCCGCACGCGCGCACCCAACCACGTTTCTGTGATAAATCGAAAGTACATCAATTGTCATCACGTTGCTTTTAAACACACAGTGAACGCGGACATTTTTTAAGTGTAGTGTAAATATTGTGAATAAACCACAAGAGCCATAAAGTCATAAACACACAAAGTAAGTAATTAATAATAAATATTTTATTAAACGTGGAATAAATCACGTTGATTTTGTGATTTTCGCTTTCCGACGGACGGGTGATAATGCGCGATGATTGAGTGTCCTGCATGTCCAGTTTATTTTGGTGTTTATGAGATTTTCTCTGAGGGTGTACATGGACCTGTAATGTGCAAACAAATGATGACACCCCACGCGCTTGTAATTTACGCTTCTTCCTTCCGAAGAGCGATTGTTGCTCGCGGGCTTTCAACAGTTGTTATGGGGGAGGTTTCAATGCACTCCGCTTAACTTCATTTTCATTAGTTGCCGAAGAGATTTATAACACTTAGAGACTATTTACTAAGTTAATAAATGTTGACAAATTGGCGGAAATTTAATTAGAACAAGAAAATAGAAGAAATTTGGGAAATAATTTTAGTTTTTCTGCGATAACTTTTAAAGTATTTAATTTATTTTAATAAACTCTTCAGGAATTTGTTTCTGGTTTAATTCTGCTTCTAATTAAGTAAATATTTTTATGATAAGATTATTTTATCAGTAGTTATAGATTATTTTAGTTTTTTTTCTGAAAAATTTTGTTTAATTGTTTATAACTTTTTGTTTAATAATATTTATAACAAAATTTTTAGTAAATTTGATGCGTAGTTTAACTAGGTATAAAATACTGAAAGAATTATAAAGATATCCTAAATAGTTTTTGATTAATTGCCAAAAAACTAAAGTTAATTTTTGAAAATTTTGTTTCAGATCAATTTTATTGAAGAAAAAGTGCAAAAAAATTATTCACCATTCTGCCGGCACAGCAAATAGGTGCCACGGTGGCACCATGGCCCACGGCCCTCTCGTCCGTGGACGACATGGCCCACAAAGGTAAAATAAAAAAAATTAAAATTTTCCGCCACAATTACGATTTATTTATAGTGTAACAATGCAGAAATTCATAAAAACAATTCACACATACGAGTAGAGAATGTCGCAGTATATTACAGGCTCAAAGAAGCTGTATTAGAATTGCGCACCATCGCCCGGACAGTTTTTGTCCGGCCGAATTCCCCGGCGTCGTAGATTATCGGCGCGCGGAAGCGGCGAATGCATCGCGACGCGTCGCGACGCCGAAAGTAAGGCACTAACTTAAAAGCGTGCGCACAATGCCGGCGGCGGATATAAAAGGCGGTCCGAATTCTTTTCACGCTCGCTAAATCGTCCGAACGTCGCGTCCGGTACTTTGAGAATATTTACGAGCTTTATACGCGCGAATAAAAAAACCAAGCATCCAAGTGCTTCGGACACACGCACTTCAATATCAAGTGTATGGAATGGACATTGTCTTCACTTGATATCAAAAAAAGTAAAAATTTAATAAATCCACGTCTAAATAACTAATTACTTACAATCAACAGCAAAGGAGCAAATGATTGAGTTGGTACGGAATGCGTGTGACACTATTAAGTACGCCGGGAGTAGTATTTTCGGTTTGTGTTGTTTATGGGGTTGACTTGCCGAGGGATGATGATCTTTTGTGCGACGCCGCTGGTGAATGCACCGGTAGGAGACCAGCAAAAGAGCCCGACTGCATGTAAGCGCGTTTGTCGAGGAGTGCGGAGACGCACCCGATGAATGCGAGAATGAATGAAACGCCGAAAGCGATAGAAAAGCGACACACACACCCACACACACCCTCGACATCTTCGCGATGTCGTGTGTGAATGCGGCAAACATCAGATTTAAATCTTCGTGAGTGTCGCGCGCACTTCACTCGCCGCACAATGCTGAAAAATCGTCAAGTGTTCACCTTTCAGTAACAGGATCCATTTGTCAATTTGATTTTCACTATTTCACAATAGGAATTGTTACAAAAAAAATTTTTTTAAAGAATATTTCTTTATTTTTAACTTAAAATATGATTTTTTGTTTGAAAATATAAAAATTGTTTGAAAAAATATTATTTTTGAATTATTTAGTGAATTTGAGGTTTAATATGGGTAATTGTTGTATTGTTAAATTTAAAAAAAAAAATTTCTTTATTTTTAACTTAAAAATTCATTTTTGGTTTGAAAATAAAAAAAATTGTTTGAAAAAATATTATTTTTGAATTATTTAGTGAATTTGATGTTTAATAGGGGTAATTGTTGTATTGTTAAGCGTAATTTGTAACCGTTGTAAGTAGAGTTGTATCGCAGCCAACACAAAACACGGAAACATGGAGGATAACAACGCGCATCCCTCTCGCCGGCGACGACACGGTCAGGCAAACACACAAAACGTGAATGGGCTTAATCCACGAGCGTGTCCGCACTTTGTATCTTCGTAACTTTCGGCATTTCGGCGCGCACATCCCGCAAACTGCCAACCCTCACACTCAGCGGTCGGCTTTGTGAATTTAGTTTGGCAAATAAGCTTAGCGGGAATCGATTTGCCAATTGTGCTCCCATTGAAAGCAAAAACCATAACGAATCACATTCGCAATGCTTGTCGTGTTCCTCTCTCCAAGTAAAAAAAAAAACATTTTCTGCATTGTTAACCTATACTCAACAAAATCAACAATATTTAATTTATGTCTTTATGTATGATTACAGGTAAATTACATACAATTTTCTAGCGATGATGAGTTGATGATAAATGATTATGTGTTAACCGAGTCCCTCTCGATCAGCGGTGCCGACTTTGAGGAGCGCACCCCGAGTGTTATCCACTTTGCATAATTCGAGGTGCGTTCGTTCGGTCGTGATTCGACTGCGGATCAATTGTGGCTCGGTTTCGGCGAGCAAGGTTTCGCGTCATTTGATGACGACATCGGACTATAGCTTGTTTATCACACCGTTTTGATTACACAGTTTACTACCGCTCTCAAAAACCCTTGAAAAAAAATAAATTCACTAGTCGTATCTTTGCAATTGATTCTTTTATTTGCCTAACACGTGCTTCTACTATTATTAACCAGTGGTGTGGTACTGTGACCCAGGTCATAGCGGTGTGAACCAGCTAGGCGGTGTTTTCGTCAGCGGGCGTCCCTTGCCGGATTCCACACGGCAGAAGATTGTCGAGCTGGCGCATTCTGGTGCTAGACCATGCGATATCTCTCGTATTCTTCAGGTCTCGAACGGATGTGTCTCAAAAATTTTAGGAAGGTGAGAAACATCGATATGAAAAATTTTCAAACAAAATTCATAAAAAAAATATCAAATATCGATGTTTATAGATATTACGAGACAGGGTCGATTCGCCCGAGGGCAATTGGCGGGTCGAAACCACGCGTCGCCACCGCCGAAGTAGTCTCAAAGATTTCGGGGTACAAACGCGAGTGTCCTTCGATTTTCGCATGGGAAATCCGCGACCGATTGCTGCAGGAAGGCGTCTGCACCAATGATAACATACCAAGTGTAAGTATTCAGTATTAAAATGTGTTTCAAGATACAAATTCACAACGAAACCCTCTGATGATATTGCGCACCCTCTTCGATTATGAACCCACCCTTTGCGCGTCGAGTGCCTTAGTACTAAATTGCTTTAAATTGATGTTTAAATATTTTTTTCGTGGGGGTAACCATCGCTACCCTCTAGAAACACCAACCCGAAACGAATAAAACCTAAATGTTGAGGTTATGTATCTATTTTCTTGTATTTTAATAATTCGCTTGTAGAAAACACATAAAACAGTATAATATACTACTATCCTCGAGGGTTTTACTTCATACATTATGCATTATTGTTTGTTTTATTATTGGATAGTGAAATAATGCAATGACCATTGGCTATGACTCGTATTTCATGGATGAATGAGTAAATTAGTTTATTTTTGATGTGAATGCTAAGAAATTTGACTATAAGTTACATCTCGAAGGTAAAAAGGAGCGCGCGTGGCGTGCAGAGAGCCCGTGGAAAACAGTTTGCAATTTTGCGGGGGTGGACTGCATTGATTGGACTGACTCCCAGCCAGTCAAGCGAGAGGAATCTGGTTTAAAGCGTTCGTTTCCAACGGCTCTCCCTCGCTTCTGCTCTGCTTCTCTCCCTGTTTCTGTGTTCGTCGCCAGCTGTGCGGCAGGAATCCTGAGTGTAACGCTATGAACGCGCAAAATATTTTTAGATATTCACATACCTATATCCACATCTATCTATAGTTAGTAAATTTAATCTTAAAACTGAGATTATCTATAATTCAGTTTTGTGTGTTTTTTTTTCATCGTCGGCGGTTGGATTTTTTGTATTAGTATTTAAATTCGGCGCATTTTGAAAGTTTTCGACAAGTACACAGAAAGTAATGCGCGAGTTAAACGGGGGTGAAACGCGCGCCCCGGGAGCGAAAAGTGGGAGGAATTGTGCTGTGTAATGCGAGTGGGGTCGTAGGCAGCAGCGCGTAAACACAAGTGCGAGGGGTGCATAGATTTACCGCGTGTTTGCCGAGGCTTTGGCAGCGCGGTGGCGGCGGCAGCGACGGCGGCAGAAAAGATCCGTCGTTTCCGCCCGCTCGATGATGCGCGCACTGGCTCCGACCGTGACTGTGACGAAAGCTAAGCCCTTCCAGCAACATCCTTGACCTAAAGTTAATATTGACTTATAAATTGTCACGCTTTCTTTCAACATTAACTCACCCCATACGCACACAACACAATAAAATAGTAATAAAATATTTAAACTTGGAAAAAACTATAAAATTTTATTTTTGACACGTGTAATACGCGTTTTAACATAAAAAGGAAACAATATTTTAACGGTTTTTATATCAGCGGAAATGTGCCGCGTGGCAGGACGTATGTTGAAAGGGTAGTAGATTTGCACCCCCGCGTAATGTGCAATAATCTCAGCGCGGACACGTGGCCGGCACGCGTCGTCGAAATGAAATTGAGGCATCAATTGCACGCGCCGGAAATCGCCGGATAACAATATCACTTGATGCGCACACTTGATAGTTATTAGACCGACTGTACGATGGCGATATCCAACTAAATGTTGTAATAATAAAACATGAGATTTTATACAACGATAAAATTTATTTGCGAATAAAATTTAATCGTGAGAAACTCAAGTTTAAGGGTAGTTTTTGTGGTTTGTAAACAATATCACCGTTTGACATATGTCAATTTATGTCAATTGAGTACTTCCTCATTCTTCAACATAAACTACCCTTAAGAGTCGAATTACAATAAAAACTTATACCTATTATTAGGACACTTGTAAGTTCATTGTTCAATTTACCCTCTACAGTTCATTGTTTGATTTTTAATTTTTATTAAAACTACGCTTAAAATAATATTTTAAAATAAATCAATATTTTACTCTTATGATTTTTTTGGCGAAAAATATAATACTGCGATGAGAAGATGAGGAAAAAAGAAATTATGAAAGGCATCGCAGGGGCCGGGAAGAATATGGAGCGCAACGATGCCATAATGGATGGATCACGGGGTCGCGTCTGGAAGTTTTTATTCATAACCGAGGCGAGATGCCAACGCGCAACCCGGGAGTCTCTGCCGGACGCCCCGCGGGTTTCTTTATTATAAGAATCTCTGCGATTCATTGACGACATCGACAGTCGTCTGCAAATTTTTCAATATCTCCATTTTATTCATCCAGAAAGATTAAAACTTTTCCCTTTATCTTGCGCAATCAATTGATGACATATGACCCTACTCCCTGGTTCTGATGATGATGATTGTTTGTCCATCAGGTTTCATCAATTAATCGAGTCCTTCGCAATCTGGCAGCGCAGAAAGAACAAACACAAGCGCCGCAGGTGTCGTCAGGGAACAACGGTGACACAGTCTACGATAAACTGCGATTACTCAATGGTAGTCAGAGTAGTTGGAGACCCTCGCCATGGTACTCAGCAGGAGGGAATAGTCCATTTCCATTGCAACCATTGAGTCCACCGCCGACAATTCTCCCCGATGATCTGCACGCGAAGAAAGGTGAGTTTTGGAATTTTTCTTTCGAGGGGTTTGCGTCGATAGTTGTCGCGCGCAGGACGTGCGAAGGCGATCACCTTCTTTTTGTGCGGAGGCGCGAAACGGCGCTAAGGAAGCGTGACGTCACGCAGGAGACGCGCTCGGTCTCTCCGGGGTATTGATTCTGTCCCCGCGGGGTCTTTGTGTTCGCAGACACCCTCTTTCGCATCCGTTATGCCTCCGCTTGTTTGTTGACACTTTGATTCGCGCTCCGATGGAAACAATCCGATAGAAAAACACCAAACAGAACAACACAAATATCATCCAGCAATAATTAAATAATAATTGTATTAATCCCCATTGCTAATTAGTTAAACACCGTTTAACCTTTTTAAAAATTTTGTTTTTTTGATTTTTTGATTTTTTGATGAAAATAGAAGCGGGAGCAAAAATCAGTCGTCTGTTTTGACAGTCGACAAGCCCAATGAGCGTCGAGAGAAATGTAATTATTACAAACAAAGAGGATTGCACAGTGCAGTGCACACGGCGCGCTCCCACCGAGCGCGAAAATTTTAATTAATGTATCATAATTTCGGACGGGATGTGACGGCGCCCGATTTAATTCGAACGTGCGTACCGTGCGTGTTTGTTGTTTTTTTCCTCCCTCGCTCTTTCATTCCGCCGGCGCCCGCAAATCGCGCGCCACACCAGATTGAATTGTTGCAACACAACAATCAGAGAGTAAATTGGTTAAAATTTTCCCGATGAACACGTAACCGCGGGCGCCACCGGCGTGTTTTCCATTTAGCGTATGTCGTGCGCAGCGTGTGCGCATTTTTGCGTTACACCCGACCTCAAACGGAAACATGTTCAACATGCGCATGTTAACAACCACTACCACCATCAGCAATAGCAGGAGCAGCAGCAGTTGAGTGATTTTTCTCTGGCAGCGTTTTATTCATGGCGCATGCCGGGACAGACACACAAAGATGCGCTGCTTCCATGAAATGTCACTCGCAGCACTTTCGTTTAATTTCAACTGATACATTGTAACAGTGGCTGCGGCACGCGGTTGTGTTGTCGGCGCCCGCGGCCGGATTAGTTATCAAAGAGATTGGGGGATGGTTTTCATGCGTGTACCTTCACCCAACACAACAAAACCGCAAATGTTATTTTGGTAAAGCAACCATTATAGAAGTTACTTGAATAATTTTCTTTAATTTTTAATTTCGGAATTCTTCAATTTCTAAAACATAAATTCCGGTTAGAATTTATTTCCGTTGAGTTCTGAGTCAAAGAGCACAAGCGGATATATTAAATTTGCGGAATTTTGCGGTTATGCCGAATCCGTTTCGGAAACTGTGTGCAAATTGTACACAATAAAGGCATAAGCCGAGATAACTTTACTCGGATTCGTCTTACAACCCTACCCTCACAGCACCCTCTCCAACCACCCTCAAACTGCTCTAACCTAACACATTTTGTATCCACTGAAATCCGAAAATATATTACTACTATACCACGACTATTGTGCGTTGTTAGTTGTTAAGTACAAGTAAAGAAATATCAAAAAGTAGCTTTTGTGTGCTTCAAAAGAAAGAAAAAAACGCGCGCTGGATTACACAGATCTAAGTTACAAAGTTGCCGAAAAGGGTTATTTTAAACACGCGGATATTTCGAAGCGTATTAGGAGTGCGGCTCGTAATCATAATCCGGATTACAGGCGTTTTACAAACAAGCGCATGCTATACTGCAAATTTACAAGCAAACAGCCCCCGGAGCGCTTGTCGAAGGAGTTGAAGCGTTCAATTGCGCTGCGATTCCATCGGCTTAACAATATGTCTTTAAGGCGGATATAGGTATAAACCGCAATGTTGGATTTATGCACTTAAAATGCATTCGCAAAACAATTCAATACGAAATACGAAATCGCTAAGTATTTATGTGTGTGTGGAGTAGACAACCCTACATACACATAAACGTCATTGTATTGTATTATTTCCTAACCCTTGTTTTTCATCGATCAATTTTATTCAAAGGGGTACCACCTACAGTTTGTGACTTTCACAAACCCACCTGATCTTGATTGTATCCTGTGGGAACTGCCTGCATGCCAACATTCCATTACACAGTCAATTAAAACCAAAAAACATAACATAACCTCCTGCAGAGACAAACGACTCTATGAGAATTAATCTCCATATAAATTCTGTGACTTTTAAGCACAATTACAGCTACTGTAACAGTTTCTACGCTTCTGTTTGCTACTGTTGGGATCATTGAATAGATCCATGTCAGATCTAGGTAGACTTGCAGCTTGTTGAAGCATGTTTTGAAGTAATTTCCCATTGAGTCTTCTTTTCAAACATTCGCAGCGTTTTGTGTTGTGTTCCGGTGCGGTTGAAGCGCACTTAAGATACCTTTCAATACCTGAGGTATAAAAGAAGAAATCAGTTTGATTTCCAAACGACTACACAACGACTCAACTGAAGCATGATATTTTGATACTTTCCTGATCGATATCTTACACTTCTAATGATAATATCGTGTAGGTATTTATTGTAATCTCTTCTAATGATGATGAATTTAGTAAACAAAAGGTTATTAGGTACAAATTGCTGTGATAATTGTCATTGATATGTGTATTTGTTTGCATTCAAGCGTGACTGGGTATAAATTACAAATAAATTACAGCTTAAGTTGCTAATTTTGATTTTGTTGGATTAAATTGATTATTGATAGATTTGAAAGTATGCATACGGGTTGTAAATGCTTTCAACTGGCACCGCCTGCAATTTGCTGTTGTAAATCGCAGCGTTTTGCTCGAAAACCAACTCTTCAGGTTCATCTACAACTTCAGGGTATTCCTGAACATAGGTTATGTAACTTTGGCTGCGGACTTGCTGGGCGCGAGGTACCACCAAGAATACTGGACGGTTTTTATTGGTTTCTTCTTTGATATTTTCAGCCTGGTCGAATTTAATTACTATTATTGACTTTGGTACATTTTTGAAGTGGATATTGTTTACCTGTGGTTCAAGGGTTGTACCTTCCTCGTCGTTGGTGGTAGTAGTTTCTGGTAATTCTGTTGTGGTGGCTTGCGGTTGTTGGTTGGTATCCGGCGGGCCATAACCCGGTGCAGGCGCACCGTACTCCTTCTGCGGGAGGGCAAATTGCGCCCCGGCGGGGCGATAACCCGACGGCGGGTACGGCGCCGCCTCCGGATTGCTCGGCTGCACGGCTTGACGCTGGAAATGACGGAAACGCGGCGGTTCCGCGTCGCACATCGCCACCACCACGATGATAGTCGCTAGCATTAGCTAAACAATAAATCATCATTAAATGCTTGAATTCTCACAGCCGGAAGTGGTACGTACATCCGCAATGGAGTACACTGTCCATTGCTCCACCTCTAAGTTTGATTTTTTGTGTTTTTGTCTTAAGCGATACTCCTGACAATGATTTCAATGACTTTTACTTCAAAAATACTAAATTTACTTACATTCATTTTAATTGTGATGTTGATTGATGTGTTGATAGTGAACAACTGATGTGACAAGTAAAAAACGTTGGTAATTTATAGTAACATTTTTTTATTGCTTTGAACCACTTGGCAATGACCCTAAACACGATTTTAATCCACTCATAACCTTTGCTGTGTTGTTACGACGCCATTTTGTGTAATGCGCTAACTTGACATTCAGCGCGTGGACGTGTTTAAATCCGAGTTAATGTCGCAAAGATCGAAATGATTGAAATAATGAAACTGACGCCGTGACGCCTGCACGTCACGTTGCGTCGTCGAGGACGCACACGGCGTTTTAGGTGAAACGCTCGCTGCATAATAAAGACGTCACGTGCGATTGCACCCGGACTGCGACGCGAAGTACACTCGACGGCGTTTAGCGTCAATGCACGCCGCGGCGCCGCCGCCACGCCGCCAACGCTTCAAGAGGTCAAACGTATAAAGCAACAACGTCCTCGAGCGTCCTCTCGAACGTGCGGCGGTGGCGCTTTTTGCCAATTTGAGGGTGTGCGTCGGGGTGAGCGTGCTTTTGATGCGGCCGTCGCAATGATACGGCCAGTTAGCGGGCCGTGGCCGTGTTAACACGACCGTTTAAAACTGTCCCGCGGGGGTTGTTTGCCCCCCGCAACCACTCGGTGTGCGAATATCATTGACTGCCCGCCGGCGCGCCACCCGTTTAAATCCCAATTTGTATTAATTAGCAATGCAGGCACGTAGCCTGCCGGGGCTCCTCGTTTGAGCACGTACAACGTCGAATTAATTCAATTACTTACAATGTCACTGGGGCGACATAATCGTGACTCAAAAGTGTTTAAACTAAATTAAAACGATTTCCATCTTTTTTTTGATTCGGAAATATTTTAAAACTTAAATTAAAAGCAAAGCCGGTGTTTACAGGAGACAAAATACAGTAACTCGTGCTTGCCGAGTTTACGCTCGTGAGTATTTTGTTGTTTCTGCGCCGGGTAGTTTGCCGGCAAACGAGGGTAGGATGGCATTCGGGGAGCGTGCACGTTTTCGTATCATATCTGCCTTTCTCGCCGCTGTAACAACGGGTGGTTGTGTGTACGTACACGGCGGTGGCGCGTATCAGATACGTGTATCTCTGCCCGGCGAGAAACGAACGAACGAACGGAGCGGCAGCCCCCTTTTGTCCCGATATTGAAATGGAATCATTTGACTGTAAGTAATTTGCTTTGGTACCCCAAAACACAGGCGCATGCAAAGCGAGCGGAGCAGAAGAGAACGAACGGAGCGTCGATGGACGGACGACGACGACGACGGCGGCGGCAGGCGGTGGTGGTAGCGGTGAAGGCGGCCCGCCGTCACAATATATAATGTTGTGCCGCCGGTGGCGCGCGGGCGCGCTCTCCAAAGTAACGAACGTCGCGCAGACGTCTATGTCGACATCCGCGAGTCTTTTGCGATCGGGAGTCCCGTGAGCCGCCTCCAACGGCTGACAACTTATTAGACGCGCAAACAACGCCGCTGTGACAACAGCTACCTATGGAATTACTCTTTGCCTCAACTAAAACCTATTAGAATACGGCGAATGCGGAATCTGACATTTTCGTGTCTTTGCTCACGTTCTGGAATTAAATCTAATCTGAAACACATTAACTTACCGACAGTATCAAAAGTTTCGCTTCAAATGAATGAAAATGAAGCACCGCCTATTTTATCAACCCCTAGATGGAAACGTGTAGTTAGTCAAACGCCTAGGTGTAAAAAACGGTTATAGCTGTCATGACACAACGCCATGATGCCCTCCTATTGCACGCATTTTACCGTTTTATATTTTCCACGCGTAGGGGAGGCAAATCAACGCCTCGATGCCCGAAAAAGCGCACGGCTTCGAAACAACTAAACGACCAAACGTGTAATTTGTAATCGAGGCGCTTGCTACCTCTGCTCACGTGGCATTGGCGTTGATAGGGTACTTTAAACTGTAAAACATGCCAACCCTCCAACTGCTAATTGAAATACAGCCGGCACCCATTTGCACATTTGACATAAGTATTTTATTGAAATTTTTCTTTCCTTCGGACATATGTAGGTAGAATATTCGGAGGGTTGACTAGGTACAGCTTGGAGTGGCAACTGATGTATGACGTTATTATATTCCATACTCGCATATATATTATGTAATGTAATAAAGTAATATGCGGGGACGTTTTGTTCGGGTGCGCTTGGGTGTGAACGAGTTGCGACTAATAAAGCGCAACTAAACGACGCCGAAGAGGGTTTCGCTTTCACTTTTCACCGTTTGTGCACGTCGATTACTATTGTTTATTGTGTGTGTCATGTCGAGCGCGTTTTGATTCTGCGATTTTATTTATGACGGAAACCGCTGTTCGCCAAAGTCAAGTGAAATATGAAATCTATATTGTTATGAATACCTACTACTTGAAACCCACTATACATGCGTGCTTGTTGGGTTGCCTATATTTAAAGAAATGAATTAGCAGTTAGCGTCGGTTAGTTTTGCTAAGATTAAACTACGGAAGCCGCCGCTTAACTTAAAGTGACGCAGAGAAGAAGAAGAAGATCTATTCGCGTAGGTATGTGTACACATCTACATCTCAATCTATGAATGCTTCCAAGTTTTGTTGCTCCCAGCACCAGCGAGGTGAGCTGATGTTGTTTGTGTGTGTGTGGGCGTGTATTGGAGCGCGCTATCCGCATCGCGTCGCGACGCCGGCGGAGAGTCGCGCACGCTTTCGCCCCCTCCGAGAGATAAGACATCCCGATCTGCGTTACGGCAACAAACGCAGCCAGCCAGAAACGAGCGATAAGGACCTTTTCGGTGCGCGCCATGGCCGCACGTAACCGTCTACGCCGCTTTCGCGCGTTGTTGGCGCAAAGCGCGCCGAGGGATGATACGCCGCCACACCGCCGCCGCCGCCGCCACCCGCCAGCCGTGCACCACACCGTTGGCATTTTACTTTCACGTCGCGCTACCATTTTATACATTTGCGTGCCACAACCGAATTTGCTCGGCAAACATTTATTTTATCATCTTCTTCTCCACGCTCCGCTTTTCTTCGTGTGGCGCTAAAGCCTTGGGACGTAAATAGATTCATCGATACTACACCCCTATAAAATCTAATATTGTAGGTGCATTTTTAAAGCTTAAAATTGCCGTTACACGAACATTAATCTATTAACAAAGCGGCATATGCAACGCAAGTACTTTTTTTCCTCTCTCTCTCTTCGGAGCGCGCACACACCGAAAATTTTGTTATTAACGCGTCAGTGAGCGATAAATAAATTCCAAAATGGTCCCTCGCCATGAGGGTTGACGGGGACGGGGGATGCTAAATACGTTTGACATGCCGTGGTCTTTTTCTAACACGCCTGGTGATTTTTTCTTCTTTTCAATTATTTCGGCACAATCTATACGTTTTCGCTCGAGTGCATTGCTTGAAAACATTTTTTGTGTCCTGAACATGCGGACGTTTAGCTGTTGCGAGCAAATCCGAATCAACACATGTCTACCAGTCTACCTCGACTGTGTTTCGTCTATTTTATGATAAATAGCCATGGCCAAGCGTTTTATCACGATGTTATGGAAGCTTTGTTGTATCATGGCACGCGGTAGACTTCCAAACATTAAAATAGAATAGAATATTACACAAAACACGTGTTTCGAAGACAAATGTTTCGTCTTGTTGCAGTAACAGATTTGGACGGTTTGAATTCAGATGAGACCAACTCCGGTGACAATTCGAATGCGGGCAGTTCCGCTGGTCCTGACGACGATCAGGCCCGTTTGCGTTTGAAGCGAAAACTGCAAAGAAACCGGACGTCATTCACCAACGATCAGATTGATAGTTTAGAAAAGGGTAAGTGATCTCTCCGGATGAAAACCCGGATTATCAATTACACGTCCTTTTAACGCATAATTGCCGCGAAGATTAATGACACCGTGCAGATTTTAGCACGTCATTAAAGTCATTAAACGCGCAAGATATTAATTTAATCATTCGACTTTGTAGAGTTTGAAAGGACGCACTACCCGGATGTCTTTGCCCGGGAGCGGCTGGCGGCCAAGATTGGCTTGCCTGAAGCACGGATCCAAGTGTGGTTTTCGAACCGCCGCGCGAAATGGCGGCGTGAGGAGAAGCTGCGTAATCAACGTCGTGGTGCGCCAGCTCCTGCTGAACATCCTGGACCAGCTGCGTCACCACCACGTCTGCAGAGCTTCAATCAGACTTCTATGTATTCGCCTATTCCGCCGCCGATGTCAATTGCTGATTCATACAGGTATTTATTTGAAAAATGAAAATTTTAAAAATTTTAGGTTATAATTAATTATTGTATGTTTCTAGTGCACCGATGTCATCAATGGGTTCATTTGGTCATAGTGGTTTGAACACCGGCATGGGCCCATCCCCTGGCGCGTGCCTCCAACAAAGAGATAGTCCCAGCATGGGCGGCGCAATGGGTGGCTATTGCATGGGCAGACCCAGCTACGACCTCGGCATCGGCTACGGTTCGAGACCCTCACCTTGCAGCCCTGCCCAACCGTATCAAATGAACGGGCATCAGTACAACACCAACGGATCATCTTCCACAGGTATAATTACATGAAGCAATCACCTCGTGCGCAATGACCTAATCGATTATATTTTTTTCCACCACCAACAGGATTGATATCGCCGGGAGTTTCCGTACCTATAGCCGTGCCAGGCCAGCCGGACATGTCCGCTCAGTACTGGCCCCGATTGCAGTGACCTTGGTGGCCATAAGCAGATTTTTATAAGGACACAAAACCACATTATCGTACGGAGAATTTTCAAAATGATGTAAAACTTGAATGTGCATTATTAATATTATTGAAAGCAGATAATCCAAGATGGATGCCATTGTTAGATATGATCAATTTGAAAACTTGGCGTTTTGTTTAGTTCTGAGACCAAAATCCGTATTTTTTTGTTAGTATTTAAATGAGAAGATGAATAATTTTAGTAGCAATATTAAATTATTACGTAATATTTATAAAAAGAAAATGATCAGTGTATTTGTGACTGACGTTTGAGTTGATTCAATCCAAAGAATACGATTTTGTAACATAATCCTCGACTTGATCCTCATTAAATGAATGTGTGTTAATTTTATCAGATAGTACCTACACGCTTTGAATAAGCAAAATGAAGCACACTGTAAATAAAAATCTTTGTCGATTACATTTGCGCTGCGTTCAGCACATTCGAGGAGCAGTTTGGCGATATGATATGTATAGATATGAGAAAATGATTGTAGATATAAACACATATCTTATTATTAAAAGTATGAGCAGTATGTCTCCCATGTTTGACCACGTTTCCATTGTTTCGAAATTGGCACCAAGATGACATTTTAACGGCCGCATTTATTTATTTTTGTTCACTAATGTTTGTGTGATGTGGATTCAGATTGTTTCAATTGATTTTAATGTGTATAGATGAAGACATTGCAGAATTCTGCAACAGAGCAATGATAATTTTCTATGTCCAATTTATTGTCATTCATTATAACGCAATCGAATCATTTGTATCGATGTAAAATTATTTCAATCAAATACAAATACAAATTACTACATTATTTATTGTCTATTTTTTCTTCAACAAGTTTTTATCACTAATTATTTATTTATTAACAGTGCATATTAGTTGTAATAATATTTACAAAGAAATAAAGTTTTAAATCAAACAATTTGCATTGTACCTCGTTTTATATTGTTTTATAATGTATTTTTAATGTTTTCCAAGCAATATATCCATTTAAACAAAGTAAATATTAGTTTAAATTTAATTTATTTTAGATTATGGTGTGTTAACATAGGCAACCATCATTACGTAGTGGTGTCGTGTTGGATGCTTGCGACATCTCTCAATAAAAATAGTCCCCTCTTGCTTCATTCATGTGATATGTGATCGTCTGGTTAGACATGACGTGTGTGTTTTCCTAGAGTTACATTACGTTAAGCTGTGCCTTTGGATCGAAACAAAAATTCAGTATTCTTCGCAATAATGAGTGAAACGTCGAACGCGAATGGTTCGACGGGTGAGCCGGCCCCTGCGGCTGCTGCCGCCGATGGCCAGGAAGTCGCCAACAGTCCCAATGTAAGTAAATCAATAAGATATTCTTAATCAGCCATACAGGTTATCTTAGCCTTCAATGTCGGCTAATTAAGATGAATTATTTATTTAGGGCCAGCCAGCTGAGCCCGGATTGTTGAATCGCGAGCCCACCCGCATGGAGTCGGCGATGGCAATGATTAAATCACTAATTCTCAGGGCAATTATTATTTATTTCATCACATCATTCTTTCGAAAGCCAGCACCTCCACCAACCACTGGCCAAGGTGGCCAGGCCATAGTGACTGCAGCTAGGAATATGTTTGACAATGGATCACTGTATTCTTTACATGTTTATTTATCTGAACATGAGAAATTGTCAGATTTTACAAAAGCCGAGAGATTTTGGATTGAAGAAGGGTTGATGTATGGTGATTGGGGCAGTGGACCAAATGGAGATGGATCATATGTGTTTCAAAAGAACATTCCAGTCACCAAGCACATGCTGAACAATGGTTCTCTCTTTCTGCACACTTATGTTACCAAATATGGGGAGAGTCCTGATCCAAAATCCAAAAATTATGGCAAGAAATTTATTTCCTCATCATATAAACAACTTAATAGGTAAGTTATAAACCAATTTATTGTTTTCACACAATATTTAACACCAATGTATCTTCTAGATTTAAGAAATTAAAATCTACTGGCCGAAAAAACCTTCTAACTGGCGAATCAGAAGGTGAAACGGCCGATGATGGCAAAATTCTATCCCATTGGCATGAAAACATCACGATTAACTTGGTGACTGATCAAACAAATTGGCAATACGGCGGAGTGCCCGCCCCTCTCGACGAATACATCAAATTCATCGAGAATGGAGAAATCTACAAACCCGTGGTGTTTGTCAACGACTATTGGAACATGGCGAAAGACTACAAACCTCTCAATGAAACTTTCAGCCTACACATTACATTTCACCCATTAAGTCTCTTCAAATGGCAGCTTTACGCCGCGCAGAAGATCCGCCAACAGTGGAACTGGTTCCAGGACGACGTGGAGCAAACCGACGACGAACAGGACACTCTGAAAGAAACCCTGCTCGAGACGAATCCCTACCTCCTGGGAATCACAATATTCGTATCCATTCTGCATTCCATTTTTGAATTGTTAGCTTTTAAGAACGATATCCAGTTCTGGAATAACCGCAACTCGCTCGAAGGCCTTTCAGTGCGCTCCGTGTTCTTCGGAGTCTTCCAATCTGTCGTGGTATTACTTTATGTGCTTGATAATGACACCAACACCATGGTACGAATCTCGTGCTTTATTGGCCTTGGAATAGAACTGTGGAAAATTCAAAAAGTCGTCGACGTGAAATTCGAGAATAACTGGATCACCTTTAAAGACAAAGGTTCCTACGTAGAAAGTTCCACTCGTCAGTACGACGAGCTAGCATTCAAATATCTATCGTGGTTATGCTTCCCGCTGCTGGCTGGGTACAGCGTTTACTCACTTATGTACATGGAGCATAAAGGCTGGTACTCGTTTGTTTTAAATCTGCTGTACGGTTTCCTGCTGACTTTCGGTTTCATCATGATGACGCCGCAGCTGTTTATCAACTACAAACTCAAGTCCGTCGCGCATCTACCGTGGCGCATGTTGACGTACAAATTCTTGAATACATTCATAGACGATATGTTTGCCTTCGTGATTAAGATGCCCACCATGTATCGCCTGGGCTGCTTCCGAGACGATATTATTTTCCTGATATTTTTGTATCAGAAGTGGATTTACCCGGTTGACAAAACCAGACGGAATGAGTTTGGTTACGTCGAGAGTGAGGCTAACCCCAAGGAGGAAACCAAAGCAGTCGAGGACAAGAAGACCAAGTAGATTTACTACTTTGGTAGCTCTCGGATTACATTTGTTGCATTTTCTATTTGTATACATATGTAGAAGTTACCCGCTTAATTGTACATCATTATAAAATGTTATTGTAAGTGAGGGGAATTGCAATGCTGATCAAGATTGCATTTTAGTTAAAGCTCCAACGAAATTTGACTTTTAGTCTGTAAGTTTTCTTTATCGTTACATTTCTTTTGGAGGTGGTGTGTGAAATATGAATTGATATGTTGTTTTGTAACCGTATTAAATCAATCTAAAGCAGTTGGAATACCACTGCACATGTATTGGTGTAGAATTGTAAATATCTATACATCAATATGCCAAGATGTGCATAATAGGTTTTTTGAATATTACTTCTAACTGGTATACTTTGATACACGGTGCTGAGTCAACCTGCTATTGATATGTATTTAATTTATTTAGGGATGTTTTTGACATTGAATAAATGTTTTGGAGAATAAATTAAATAATGCAAATACCATTTATAGCCCGTGACGGCCAGACTTTCGTCATTTTAGGAAATTACGTTTTTTATTGTGGTCTGCAAAATAACACCCAGTATCTCCCGAACTATATGACTTTTTCATAGTTTCTCACCGCGGTGTTAGAGTTAAAGACTTTCCCTACGCGATGCATACATTTGCAACACCCTAGCACTTCTGAAAATACTCAAAAGTATTTTTTTTAAAGGAGGGTTTATCATAAAGTATGTAAATATGATGTAGAAAACACCCTGTATCTCGTGAACGAATTGACATTTTTTGCGTTTGTCACTGCCATATTAAAGCTCGAGAGTTCCTCTACGCGATGCATACCATGTTAATTTTCTATCCCTTTTAGAAGTGCCCCAAAACTCTCTTTAAAAATTGACATTTTTCAAAAAAATTATTAAGAATCAATTATCTCAGGAACTAATAGAGATAATCAAAAACCAAAAACACCCCGATGTTCAGCATTAAATTCTAGATAAAATAACATTTAAAAATGTTAAACATGTGCCTAAAAAAACTCCGCAGCGATTTTCTGGAAAAATAATAAAGCTAGAAAAGAACATTCTTCATTTTGTTCATGCCGTGAGATGGATCTATAAAATGGCAGATTAAGTTTTTTCATTTTCCAAAGTTGACGAAAGACCTCTCAAAAAGATCAAGAGGTTATACCTGACTCTTTTTGGGCTCAAAAATATTTTTTTACGCAAGAAGAAAATCGAAAACGTTAATTGATTGCGTTTTCCAAGGGGATGAACGATATGAAGTCAGTTTTCCGATAACATCTAAGGTTTTGTCGCTATTTAAATTGAATACATTGTTTTTATTAAAATTGTAATTTGGGCCTAAACGGTAAATACTAGCCAAAAGAGTTACTAAAATAATTGATATAGAATTACATTATCTATCAGTATCCGATTAAGAATTTAATAAAAATTAATAGTTCCATGCATAGTACGAGTACAATTCTTCTCATGTTCTGCACTACCACACTGAAAGTATCAGTGTTTACAAACAAACAAGTTTCTTTATCTCCTGCAGTTTTGTGCGGTCGCCACGCGGTTGGTGTGCGTACCACGTTAGTTTCATTTGTGTCGTCAGGTGATCTGGACGCACATTTTCGTTACAATATTTTGAGCTCCCTAATTTTGTGTCGCGTTATTACGTACTGTTTCTAAATGCTCCTTCAATTGTGCGCGAGTGATGTGCTGCGTTCGATAAGCGAGGATTGTACACACGCAGAGGTAAAGCGTGAGTGATTTTCCGTCGGCCGTCAGATACTCTTTTTGTATCATACGCGTACTTCATATTTATTTCGTATTTTCTTTGGATATGCCAAACGCGCAAAAATAAAATATAAAAGAACATCTGATTCTACAGACTTTATCTTAATAAAATTTTGTTTTAAAATAAAGCTTTTTGATAATAATAACCCTAACTAAAGATTTGTCGCTATTCAAATTAAATACATTTTTTATTAAAATGGTAAATTGGGCTTAAACGGTAAATACTAGCCAAAAAAGTTACGAAAATAATCGATATACAATTAAATTATCTAACCGAATCCGGACAGAATTTAAAAATTTCAAATTGTAATTTCGAGAATAAAAAACGAAATCTTTTGCTTTTTTCATAACAAACTATTTTTGTTAAATTTTTTTATGCGTTTTTGAACGTTTTTTAAAAAGGGTGCCATCTTGTAGAGAATTCTTTAAGGATCAACAATATGAAGTCCTTTTTTCCGTATCCCTTTTAGTTCTCGAGATAATCGCAATTTAATCTCGCCGCTTTTACATAAAAAATTAAAGAAAAAAGTTCGACTCTGGTGTTCGACCTAAAATTTTTTAAGAAAATAAGTTTGGCTCTGTCCTTCGACCAAAAAAATTCTGTCTAGCAGGCGAACAAATTGTCCTAGAACAACAATTCCTTCATCAGATTGTAAGTATTGAATTTGTTTATCATTTTCATAAATAATTTGTGTGATTAGCACACGCACAACATGCAAAAATGTCATTTTTGTGCTGCTATATGCTAATTTTCGGTTGTTTTTGGTATCTAGCGGGCGAACGGAATGTCCTAGGACAGCGATTCTTTTATCAGATTGTAAGTATTGAATTTGTTTATCATTTTCATAAATAATTTGTGTGATTAGCATACAGGAAACCTGTGAAAATGTCATTATTGTGCTTTGATATGCTAATTTTTGGTTGTTTTAGGTGTCTAGCGGGCGAACGAAATGTCCTAGGGCAACGATTCTTTCATTAGATTGTAAGTATTGAATTTGTTTATCATTTTCATAAATAATTTGTGTGATTAGCACACAGGAAACCTGTGAAAATGTCATTTTTGTGCTTCGATATGCTAATTTTTGGTTGTTTTAGGTGTCCAGCAGGCGGACGAAATGTTTAAGACAACGGTCCTATTATGATATTGTAAGTATTGAAATTGTTTCTCATTTTTGTAAATAATTTTCATGTCTCATACATTGAAATGTAAATTAAATTAGTTATTTTAAATATTAGCAGACGCATTACAGATTTCGTAGTAATTTATTTCAAGTTTCTGGTCCCAAAACTAGATGTTGCCACTGTCAGGCTATCTAATATATTTTGCTCCGTCACACCCAGATGGCGCTCGTGTCAGCTATCTATTTTGTTTTGTGCCGCCACGGCCAGATGGCGCCTCCATCGATTTGGTTTGAAATCTTACTTAATTTTTGTTTAGTTTTTGGTGCAGAGTTGCGGAGGGCACGTCACTTTTATACATAACTTTAGTTAAGTTAAGTTAGTTAAGTTTAACAAAACGAAAAATAACTAAAGTTCAATTTTTGATTGCTTTAATTTTCGGTTGCTTTAGGTGTCTAGCGGGCGAACGCGATGTCGTAGAACCACCATTCTTTCATAAGTATTCAAATTGTATACTATTGTTATATACATTATTTGTGTTTAATACTAGCGGAATCCACAAATGTCGTATTTTTCCACAATACGTTAACTAAAATCCTTTCTTCCAAATAATGTTGTTTGTAAACTGATAACTTTATTTTATAACTTGCAATATATTTGTAATAGCATTTTTATCGTGCGCAGGTAGAAGAATGCCCTCCAACTGCGGATCGGTTATCAATTCTCTTACCCGCTTAGTCAGACTTAGTCAGTTGAGCGCTGCCTCGTGGTGCGCACGTGTTTTATTCATTAATCAAGCATGGTGACGATTTTACGCGTTTCTTAATATGTTAATTTTGCAGTAATGATTTGAGTAATCCTTTGCGGTGCGTGCATGGCGTCCGTCGGATATGTTCCACCGGTGGCTATGTGTTTGATGTGAGTACAAGTTTTCCATTTGTGATGTACGCGTGGAATAGTAAAGAAGTGCGTATCATCAATTCAGCTTACAATTTGCGGAAACGTGTTTGTGCGCTTTAGTTCTTTATGGATAGAAGAACAATGGAGTAAGTAAAATCAAGTAAAACTTAACTTTTATTTAACTTTTCGAATCTTACAGGTACCATATTATTGCTTTATAATAATTGTAAATGATTCAGTCAATAAAGGATAATTTAATTTCACATTCTTGTTTAGATGTGTCCCTACTTAGTCGTTTTCAGGATTAGCATTAAGTCATGTTCAACTCTAAGAGTATACCATAGTACGGCATAATATAATGCAGTGTAGTATGTGTATATTGTTGTTTTATTTTATTATAAAATATGAACACATAAATAGAAGAAACGAATACGGTTTGATAAGAAAGCCGCGTGGCTCTCAGGTGTGCAGCACATGCTGCTACGCCGTGGATCGATGGTTCGATCTCCAGTTATAGAAGGCATTTTTCTCAAATATAAAAATAACAGGTGTAATTTGGGTTGCATATATAAATTGCAACGAAATACAAGTGAAGGCAATAAGAGAAGTAAGAAAGTAAGTTGAGAAACGGAGAACCGAGAAATAAGAGGAGTAGAAGAAGAAGGAATAGAAGGAAGAGAAGTGGAGTGGATCAGATTTTTAAATTTTTTGGCACGTGTCGTTATAAGACAGTCTACGGTCGATCTCCCGGAGCGCCTCCGGCGCTCTGGTCGATCTTGGATGCCTCCATTGCTCCCGGCCCATCCTACAGCTACGATGTCTCTGCGCTTCATCCCCGAAATTCTCAGGCATATCAACAATTTTTATGGTGGGGGATCACCCCCGGAGAGAGGGACTTCCTTATATGGACAATCCTTATAAGGTCTTGTTCAAATATTCCTAAGTTTTAAGTCATCTCAAGAGAGGGGACACTTAAAAATACAAGTTCTTACAAGTTCTGACCTGTGGCTGAAATGAAAGATGGAGTACACAAATCATACAGGATACCTTAACAATTTTTATAGTGGGGATCATCCCCTGAGAGAGGGAACTCGCCTAGAGACCTGTACCTGAAATGATAGAAGGGGGACATACAAAGCATAAGACATAATATTTCTTAACATTTCTTTATTAATAATAAAATACAAGTTTAGATTTTACAAGTCAACAAAATACATGTCGCCATATTGAAACAGGACTTACGACCTGCTTAGCCGCGCACTTATAAGCAAGTATCACTAAGTAGAGTTCTATAGGGACAAAGGAATTAGCAAATTGTCAATTTTCTACGTGATTGAAAATGAAAACAAATATACAGGGTGTTGCAAAAGGAAACTTAAAGTGCAAACAAAAAACTCTAAACACTACCATGTGTTTGTAATTTGTAAGACGATACATGCAAATTTCATATCACTCAAATAGACTAATCAATTTAAGTTAAACCGGCGTAACTTTGCGTTAAAAATTAATTACACACCTACCTATGCATTGATGAAGGGATTTTATATCCAGAAATATATTCTATCAATTGAAAACATACGCACAGATTAATGGACATTTATTACTTATTTAAGAAAACTCTAAACGCCACAAATCATTAAACAAGACATTGCGAATACTTTGCTGATGGTCGAAAAAGTACACGACGATTAATCCAATTAAAACCTCGAAACGCATGGCGATCAGAGAGACACGTACGCGGACCACGCGGTGAAACGACTGCCGTGTGCGCTTCGCTTAACCAGGTACAAGGCTGGTACGTAGCGATAATACGGGTCAGTCGAACAATAAAAATTGTTTATACACAAACTGATAAACTCGTTGTTAAAACAACCAAACTAAAATTTCACAATGTTGAAATAACCAACATCCACAAAATCAACTTTTACTTTCAATATTTCTCGACATAAGAAAATAATTTATTGGCTTTGGGATGTCATAAGTAGTTGCAGGTCGAATTCCTGCAACCAACAATTACCACCCGACGGAGAATTTAATTCCGCATCTCCGAACGCCCCGCTGAAATGACTGCGCCGCCTAGATCGCGTGCAAACCCGACAAAATACAAATATTTCACGAAAAAGGGTTGAAAAATAACAATTATATGCAAATTTTTGCGGGTTGCAGGTCGAATTCCTGCAACAATTAAATAGCACCCGACAGAGAATTTAATTCCATATCTCAGGATGCCCCGCTGAAATTACTGCGCCTCCAAGATCGCCTGCAAACCCGAAAAAACACAAACATTTCACATAAAATAGTTGAAAAATTACACTTATATGCAAATTTTCGCGGGTTGCAAGTTGAAATCCAGCAACATTTATATACCACCCGACGAAGAATTTAATTCCGCATCTCCGTAAGTCCCGCTGAAATTACTGCGCCGCCTAGATCGCGCGCAAACCCGAAAAAACACAAATATTTCACGAAAAAGGGTTGAAAAATAACACACATATATGCAAATTTTCGCGGGTTGCAGGTCGAATTCCTGCAACAATTAAATACCACCCGGTGGTGAATTTAATTCTGCATCTCAATACGGCGTGCTGAAGTTAGTGAGCCGACAAAATCGCGTGCAAACGCGAAAAATACAAATATTTCCCGATAAAGAGTGAAAAGATTACCTTTTAATTCAAATTTTCTCGAGTTGCAGGTCGAATTCCATCAACAAATAAATACAGCCCGACGGAGAATTTAATTCCGCATCTCTAGACCACGTGCAAACCCAAAAAAACACAAACATTTCACGAAAAAGGGTTGCAGGTCGAATTCCTGCAACAATTAAATACCCCCCGACGTAGAATTTAAGTCCACATCTCTAGATGGTCCGTTAAGGTTACTGCGCTGCCTAGATCGCGTGCAAACCTGAAAATACATAAACATTTCACGAAAAAGGGTTGAAAAATTGCTCTTATATGGAAATTTTCGCGGGTTACAGGTCGAATTTCGATACTATCGTCACATGCAATTAAAGATAAAAATGTACTAGTGATGGGTTCGTGTTTAAAACTCACCAATATAGCGGATGATTAAAGAAAGAACTGAAACAGAAAAAAACACGTGTGTTAGAACTCGTACTATGTACACTTGTAAAGTCCGTTCCGTCGGATAAAGGACTTGCATTGTAAATGTTATTTTTACCGACAATATTTCCGTGAAATATTGCCGAGGACAAATGTTAATTACACTTACTCAAGATTATCAATAGCATATATATCCCTAATTCCAATTCTAAGCATCAAAATACACAATCCAATAGCCGACGGACCACTAATCCACAGAAAAATACACGAGTTTTGTAATTATTTCACGCACAAATCATCATCAAGAAAACACTAATCACGTCTATTGTCATTTAGTGTTGATATTTATGCCGATTTTTACACACAAAATTTAGTGCAATTAATTTAATCGTAATGAATGAAAGAAACGTGTCGCACCGCGTGCAGATAAGAGCAGACTGAAATGTTCAAACATTCGAAGCGCGAGCGAGGTATTGCAGCAGTTCAACGCGATAAAAAAGTTGTTTTCATACAAACCCCGATAACTGAGTAGAGTTGAAATCGAAACATATCTAATATGCATCTAAATAAAATGTAATATTCACATCCAATTCTGAATCTTGGGAAGAACGGATTGAATATTCTTCATGTATGGGATCTTCTAGTAATGATAAAATATTAAAATTAGGAAAATAAGAGGGGTCGAAAATAATTCATTAGGAAAAATTGGTAAAGATGCATTCACCCTCATATGATGCCCTAAAAATACACACTTTTAACGGCAGCCTTTAGGGCACCGTACGAGGCTGCCAGTAAAAGTTACTTCCATACAGGGCACCGTACGAGTATAGCGGTACAAGTGACTCGTGTTCAGGGTACCGTACAAAGGCAGCGGTAGAAGTGACTCGATTCAGGGCACCGTACGCAGGTAGCGGTAGAAGTGACTCGTGTTCAGGGTACCGTACAAAGGCAGCGGTAGAAGTGACTTGTGTTCAGGGCACCGTATGAAGGAAGCGGTAGCAGTGACTTGATTCAAGGCACCGTACGAGGGTAGCGATAGTAGTGAGTTGTGTTCAGAGTACCGTACGAAGGCAGCGGTGGAAAGTACTTGTGTTCACCGTACAAGGGCAGTGGTAAAAGTGATTCCCATTCAATGCACCGTACGCTGATGGTAAAAGTGATTCGTATTCACGACACCGTGTGCGGGTTAACCTTTTACCGTCATCCTCGTACGGTGCATTGAACACGAGTTACTTCTACCGCTGCCCTCTTACGGTTCCCTGATTGGAAGTCACTTCTACCGCTACCCTCGTACGTTGCCCTCCCAATGTATGAATTTATTGCGGTATTGAATTTTCTTTACGGTCTCCAGACATACTAGCAACAAGGCAAAGTGTGCCGGTTGACTCTCATACGTACAATAATAACGTGTGAAAAATTATAAAATTAAGAGACCAAGAAGTGCATCTAGACTAAGAACACATTTAGTGAAAATACATTTCTAAGTTAAAAATGTTGCACAACATTATCACCACAGCCCAAGTATTCTGATAAGAGAAAATGCGCGTAATTATACCGATGGTTCACGCGAAAAATCCACTAGGAAATTCTAAAACCCACTGGATTAAAAGGAAAATGCAATAACAAAAGATCAACGAAACATACTAGTATAGGTGTATCTACAATGCTGTTGTGGACTTGAGTAAAGTTAGTAGTGCCCCGACCTAGAGTAGAAGCTGAACAATGAGCACATCACCCGCGAGCGAATAAACAAACACGCACTTTACAAACTCGCAATGGACAATAAGTTATTACCGGAACACCAAACACTTTAATAGTCACAAAATGCCGACGATTATAAGGAAATCCAAATAAACCGCATGTGACTTAGTACTGGGGTACCGCACCGCGTGCAGGCGCAAATTAAACTGAGCCTATGAGCTACGCTGAGCGCGCAGGTCGCATTGGCAGAGAGACAGATAGGCACACGGACAACGCAGTCGCAACGGTACACGATAACATTTAATAACAACAGACAAACAGCCTTGAGAGCAACGATGCCCCAATCTAAAGATAAAAGAACATTGAAATTTCACGAACGGTTAAAAGCCGATTTCAACTGCGCTGTTTAAAATGAACTATAAAAGTTAATTGTAATTTATCGGATTACAAGGTACTCCTTATGTAAAAAAATCCGGACTGTAGAGGTTTTAGGCAATGGTTGTCGGATTACCGGGATTCAACTGTATGAGGCTGAGGTGGTAGGCAAGCCAACCGCGAGGCGAACCTTATGGCGACCGCTCAAAAATTGCACAAGATAAGAAAACTTGTTTGTTTGTAAACACTGATACATTCAGTATGGTAATGCAGAAAATGAAAAGAATTGTACTACTCGTAGTACAATGCATGGAACTTTTAATTTCGAAAACTCAAATGGAGTAAATTAGTTCACTGATCAATTAACAGCATAACAGAATTTTTTATAGTTTCTGTCATTCAGAACATTAAACAAATTCACTCACACATCACAACAATGAACGATTCAATAAACAAAGAGTCGAATTCAAAATATACTTTTAGGGTCATTCCGAGATGTCGCTAAGATGTCCTTTTCGACGAAAAATCATCTCGCGTTTTTATCATATCGTTGTTGTAAAGTATTGTAAACATTGTAAACACATTGGTTAACGTAGCAGCGCATTTTATCAATTTACATTGACTTTATCTTATTTTACGCTTGAAATTAAATCATAAAAGTAGAACATATTTAAATAATTCATTTTCTTTATAATTTATCAACAGATAATGTGTACTATATAATCCATAACTATATAGTATGTTTGTTTAATTTCTGATGTTTAATTTAATAATGCCACTGATTGAAATCCGTGTCCTTGCGAGCGATTACAGGTACACGGTTACTTCGCCATTCAATTCTATGCACGATCACTTATCAAATGCCCGATTCAATAACACTAGCAGAGGATTTCAAACTGAACTCTTAAAATCTCTCCGAGATGTCGCTAGAATGTCCGTTAAAACTAATGTTATAATAATGTTACGAATAAAATATGCAAATATGTTGTTCGTTTATCTTTATTGGCTGTAAACTGCCACAGAACCACCATCCAGGTTTCAAAATTGGGAATCGTTCTTTGCTGTGTAAGGTACACACATAGAAACATTTTCATCTTTCCTAAAATGACGAAAATCTGGCCGTCACGGGCTCATACTCTATTAGATAAATTCTGAGTGAATGCATCTAAAGTTTGTTATTTCAAACATCTAGAAGAGATTCGGCTAAATAATCTAACTTGTCTTAATTATTTCAGAAGCTGCTTATCGATGTGTGACAGTCTATAGAAAGGCCGTCATTCTGAAGCTATTAACGCACGAAACAATCTCAAACTTTCAAAATTACTGACCGCGAATTGCTGAATGGACAACCAGCCTACGCGACGAGTCAGTGTAAGGCTGACGACATGAGCACGATGTGTTTGTCTGCATTCATATTTAATTTAGTTTCATGTTCAACAAATTAACTGCACCATGATACGATACAAAATGGGAATTAATAAAATCCAGCAAATGTAGATATTCTTGTGTGCTGAGTTGATTTCACGGGAAAGTGAACACGACTGAACGAACTAAAATAAAACCTGCAGTACTCGCAAAAAATCAAAACATAGAAAGTTTATCAACAATTAAACAACAAAATATATTTTATAAAATGAAAACTCGATTATTCAAGTTTACACCTATGTCATCATCACCCATTGACATAGATGACATCAAGCACTTAAAATTATTTTAAATACTTGATGCGCACGGTGAATGTAAATTCTTGAATTACAAATTAGTCGCACCTACAACTAATTATCTTCTACTTCTTGTTTCTTGTCAGGTATGTGATAAATACGTACGGAAAATCATGTAATCATCTTGTCTGCGTGCTTAGTTTGCTTGTATGCAAATGTGCCTGGCCTCTGAGTCTTAGATCATGCGACAACTCACGCGTGCAAATGTTAATCAACACAGACAATAAACGAACAGCGCGTGGACGAAAAAAAGACGACGATTGTTTATGCGCACCATGTGTTCATATAATTTATATGCTATGTAGAAAGCCTGCCACAACCACGTGCCATGAATTATAAATATACACATGGAAGCTATCTGAATCACTTAAAAATATGTCCGCAATATGACACACGCGGAATCTCTTTAACTGTCTCCTGAAATTATTTTCTCCGTGAATTTTACGAAAACGCAATTTTATTACTACGTAGTAAAATTTGGAGTTGTGTAGCAGTTTGACATAATTTCTCATTAAATTTGAATGTCCATCTGTCCGTGTGGGCTTGTCACGCTTTGTGCCATCGTCTTCAGCTTGGACAAGTAAACTTTGGCGAGGCGCGCTTCGAGAGCCAGTGACCTACAAAAACAAATATTTCTGTGGTTCATTGAACAGGGCAGGGACAGCCTTAAAAATGCACGAGCGTGTCAGGCATTTACAATATATTTATTTTCTTGCTTATCAAAATGGAAACCTGACAGAAACAAGATTCTTGAATGTGGATCAAACCGTCACATATTAGTTTCATGTATATCTCTTCAAATTGTAATTAATTTCTAAATTTTGCTGTACAAAATGTTTGTATTGTGTTTAGTTGAAATGACATCACACAAAGCTCCTACTAATTGTGGAGGCGTTTTCCATTAACACATTTCTATTATTGTTCAATTTGTTTAGGTAAGTAAACGTCCCAGCGTTTTGCATGAACACTCAGGTCATTTTTTGCTCGATACACGCTTTATGAAAGGAAGCCCACAACAATTGCGTTGTTTTGCGCTATTGCGCATCTTGTTTGGTCGTTTTGTCGGCAGTGTATGCTTGTTTTTTACCCCACGAAGCTATTTTCAGTGTCAGGTTGTTGTAAAAAGCGTTGTGTCAGTAGCACACAACGTGTTGATTTGTTCAATTTATTTTTTATTTCGTTTACACGCACAATGATTGTTCATACAGATGTAAATACGAATAACAACATAACAAAATAATAATTATACCTATAGAAGTATTGCAATTGGAATTACGACCTGGCATTCGTAAGAGTTTAGAGTTTGCTTCATAAATAAAGTCATTGTTACTTAATTGCAGGGGCGTACTATTTGTAGGAAGTAAATATGTTTTGGTTGATCATCAATCAACTTTTAACATCTTAGAGCAATGAACCTAAGATTGAAAGACTTATTTACTTTACTCTAAAATTGGTTGAGTAAGAAAAAAAAGACAATATTCTCGACGTACTTTAATTAAAAAATTAAATTCCAAGACCCACGCCCATGACGACCATGATGACTGACCAGCTGCGTGCGTGATGGGCAGATGCCTCGTTGCATCTGCAGCACGTCTTCCTGGTCAAGCCGTATCTTTATAAGAAAATTAATGAAACAATAAAGAAAGTACATTTACCTTTTGCATCGTGCACACACATGCGGTGCGACTAAAGTCCATAACTTCACGTTTCCACTACAATTACCAGACCTGGACTCTTCTTCAGGCAATCTCGGCTATTCTATGATTGTACGCTGTAAATCAAAGCATGAATGCTGGCCAGAAAGCAATTGCAGTTGCGAGAACGAACGGAAAAACAGCTAGACTCTCTCGGCTTGGGCAATAAAACTTGAGGCATCTCCAAGCGCACCAAAAACGATCAAACCGAATGCCTCGAAGTAGGAAGATGTTAAATCACGTCTCACTTTACGATAATTTATTCGCTGGGATGAACTCCTGAAGAACTAGCAAATCCTAAATAAACATACAAGGTGTTTAACATCTTCTGCCTTCTATTTCATTAAATAAAACCTTGAGATCTGTTCGATTTCACTCGGTAGAACTAATTTACTTGATCGACTTCATGAATTTGCAGCGAGCACTCGGCGTGTACAATTCGTCCCGTTCGAATTGCAAAATCTCGACAACTTGATGCTAAAGTTGTTCGTATGTGCGGTTGGGAACGTGCGTGCGGTCAACAAGCTTCAGGCTATATTTTCTTGCTCAGCGCTACGAAACTAGAAAAGACTTTAGAAAAAAAAGCTTTTAACTTCAAATGTTTGAATTTTAAAGATTTTCGAAGATTTTAATCGATATTGCGCGTTTTATGCGTAATCATCGTAATATAATTTGAAAGTGCGTTGCACAGCAGTCACAGACAATAAATTTAGAACTTTATTTTCAGTTTAATGGACTGTTAAGTGCGTTACCAGCGCATTACTCTGCGTTGCAAACAGAAAAAAAAACGCAATGAGATTCCAAACCATTTCAAACACCATTTTCAGCTCGGCTAAAACTAAAACACAAACCAAAAACCATCTAAAGCAATCACATTCCATTCCATTGCGATTGCTCCGCTGGTAAGTAAGTAGCGAGTGCGCACAAACGTGCTTTTTGAACTTGTGGACTTCTCCACGCTGGATTTTCTTCGTCTTGTGGCTCGTTTGGTAAATGCGTATGCTGGCACGTCCGAAGCGGTAGCCCCAGGGCCCCGGAGGCCTCACCTCACCTCTCCATGCCTCGTCAACCAAACACAACCAGTCGGTTAACTTACTTAAGTGTGGTGAGCGCCGTCGCCATCGCCTCTACCTATGCGTGCATGCGGCACGGGCTCGTCGCGCACGAGGTTTCGGTTTTGCGATTAATGCATCGCCGGATAGGTGCTGCAGCGGACGTCAGGACGTCGGCGTCGAGTAACATGCAGTAATGCACCTAAGCAGCAAGTACGCGAGCCAACGTGCGTCAATGTGCGCTAATCGAATTTAATTGTGTTAAATTCGCCCACATCGTGATAACTTTCAGTGCGGTGTGCGTAACTACAGATTTTTATGTCTCATATTGTGCGTATAAATAGTGAATGAAAACAATTTAGTTGATAGTTGACATTTGTGTGGCCATACTTGGATTAATAAAACTTTTTTGATACTTTTGGTAAGTTTACTTTTCAAAGAATTATATAAATATATAATTACAAGAGATATTAAGTTATAAATTACGAAAAAGACATTATCGGAAGTAAATCAAACCTTGTAATACTTTATTACGTTTCTTATTAAATAATGTTTAATAATTACACTATAATTAATTAAATCATTGTTTTTTCATAAAATATGTAACTGCAACAAAAATTCATATTTTAAGTATATTTAAGCAATAAATCATAAAAATTCAAATATTATTAGCAAATATTTTAATATTACGAAATATTTACTTCAAATGAATGGTATGTAAGTTTTGGAATTTATTTTTGGAAGTATTCCCATGTTGGTTTCGTCAAGTAGCACGAAGAATGTCTCGAAATGGTTGATCAACTGCATAAATTAATTAGCAACTCGTCGAACGCTCACCTAATTTGCGCCGTCGATTAGCTTTATATGCAAAATCAAATGATGAAAATGTTTTATACACCAATTGCGCCACCTCGCACGAATTCTCGCGTTAATTTAATTTCGCTCTGGCGCGCGAATTAGCCGCAACCGCTTATTACGCGCGGCGTGTGCTGCAATCGAGTAAATCGGCGCATTTCTGCATCGTATCACATATTAAATACAAAAAATGCATGTCATGTTAATTACAGTATCATAAAAACGTACATATTCAATATTTTTGGCCCTGAATTCCACTTAAAATGCACACAACGTACATTTTTGTCCTCTTTGCGTTTTAAAATAGTGAAGGCACTTAAAACGAACGCATAGGTGTGATACGTAAATTAATAACATGTTCAAGCAACCTGAATTAACGAAACGCATTGCGTAATTCGAATCTGTGGCCTTTTTATTTATATTATACAGCATTTCGTGGCGAATGGTACAAGTTGGAATGTGAACGAAGTGAACGAAATTAGCGCTCGGAGGTAAATATTTGATTACCAGTTCAGACATGTTATGCGAGTGTGAGTACCGCGGGCGCGCAATTTTGAAATATTTTTGTTCGTCAAATTAGTTTGGAAGGTAATCAACGCTCGACGGTTACTTATGAGAGCGAGCAAACCAAACACGCCTCGCAAACGTTGCAAGATAGCCATAAAACTGTTGAACTAGTCTAAATTTGTTAAATATTTAAACACATCAAGGCGAACGAAAAATTTTATCTCCCAAAACGCTGAAAAACTTTATAAGCAAATATTGATCACATTTTTAATGTTTAACTCGCATGAGATATGTTAATATACGTCTGTAATTTTTCTCCTCTATAATTTGCATAGTCCTTGTAATAGTTAGCAGGTTAACACGTTCACATTTGTTTTATAAAATACGCACGAAGCGAAAAAAGCGAGGAAAATCATTGAACGGCTAAATAAGAGTAAAAACACGCGTTAATTGCGATGGATTGAATTATGTGCATCCAGCATGTTGCATTGAAGCTGATTGCTTGCTTTCTGCAAAGGAATGTGAATGATATTCCGCATTACACTGTTGATATTCACACGAGTGTGTTAGATCACGCACAAAACACTGAAAGTGATTCCAGCGCTTAATAAAAGTACTTTTTGATGGAATTTATCAAAGGTCAAAACAATTTTCAATTTTTTTTTTTTGATACAATTTAACGACATATTGATAGGTTTTTAATTGTTTGTAAAGAATGTCGATTGTTTAGAAAAAAACTAAAAACGAAAAGTTGTTTTTTGGACGTGAATTTCACAATAAAAAATTCCATTAATTAATTTATTTTAAATGCTTTGACATTTGAAATGCAGATTACACATGTTTTCCTTCAGTGTGCACTTTCGTCGGATAGAAAGTAATTATTTTGCACACCGCTTGCTAATTATTCAATCGTTGAATAAGTCCGTTTAGAATTGGAATAATAAAATCGGCGCTTTGGAAAGCACCGCATAATAAAAAATATTTAGAAGGTACACGCGTTCGAAATCGCTGCGAGTGGCCACTTCACGCAATTAGAAAGTGCCATCTTAAATCGAGTAATCAAAGAAAATTAGCTTTTATTGATGCTATTAATATCAGATCTTTGTGTTGGTTAATTAAGACAAATCACATCCCGAAAACACCTGACAGCAAAATATTTCTCGTATAAAATTAATTCCAATTAAAAAAATCAAAAAATTTAATTTAAGCGAACGTTTAATTAATTTTACATTAATAAGGATACTATGTAAATTCGTGACATTATCAACTTCCACTTATATACGCTTAGCGTGCTTAAAGCGGCTTAAGTCATAAAGTTAATCGCGAATGCTTAGCAAATGTTTGTTTGTTGGCTTATTTGCATAAAAACAAGGAAGCGGGACATCGATGCATCGATTGATTTCTATTTATTATAAGGTGGCTTTCTCTTTCGCAGGTATAAATTTCGTTGTATATGGTAACGTTGTAAATTGCAGCCAGAACTTACTAACAAAATAGTTGATACTTTGAACAAACACAACGCAAGACGAGGGAAACTTCAAAAGGAAAGTTTAATCTATGGTTATGGTTGTGCTATGAATATAACTGAAATTTACGTTACAACGTGTTATTTTTGATACGCGCAACTAAACATGTCAAAAACCAAAACAAGCAAAAAGTAAATTAACTTGAGTAGGTTTTCATGTTCTTGATTTTGCAAAATATTTACTTTAACTTCTTTCTTAGCAGCAATTTCCATTAAGAAACGCAGCAAAAACAAAAACTTTGATTAAAACACTTAAAACTACTCCGATCCATGATTTACAGTTCTAAATAATCTTGTGTACATGTGTTACATAACATTCATCAAGATGATGTTGGCAAAGTTGTTTATTATAGCATCAACATTCCAATCGTCATCAATACAAGTATTACCATCGCATGTGATGCTTGTAACGGGATATTCAAGACTGGCTTTTATTCCTTCTGAAGCGATCCGAGTATCTTTGGAATCGATTCTTATTATGGACATAAACTATTAGACGTATGCTGTTAACTGTGTTAACACAACCTTCTCATGAGGTTTGGTTCAACCTAACCTCAAATCAAAGCTAACCGTAAATGAACCCCAAACATTCACGTGTGTCGTGCACGGTGCATTTCGGTTCTGCACGGATTGTCCGGCGAAACCTGCAAATTGCAAAACAAAGAACACGGCCCGTTACGTTGTTCCCTGATGCATTTCGATCGCCTGCCTACCATAAACTGCAATCCATATGCCTGCAGCTGCGACCGGCTTGCTTGCAAAGTAGTACATGTCCACTTATAGCACTAAGTGGCTCTTTCGACTCGAGAATTGTCTTTTTATTTAAATTATCGTGAATTACGCAGCTTTGTGCGCGTGGAATTTGGGTTAATAAAGCAGTGGGCACGCGGAATTCATCCGAGTGCAACTGCAGCCGAGTGAACTTTGTCATTTGTTTCAACGTTCCGGAATTACGGGTTCTGATGACATTACCTACATATGTAATTAATTACAGGTGTAATGAGTAAGGGGATTAGTGTTACCTCAATCTGCAAAGCATAGAAAATCCATGATAATGATATCTTATATAAAATAAATTCGTTGTCGTAACAACCTTCTCAACTATTTAAAACTTAAGGTCGAACGTGTTTACTTCAACCTGACTTGAATTTTATTAATAATTAATTTATTCATTTTTGTTGCCTAACAGCTCAACGTGAAGCTATTTGCATACGATGAATATTTGAAAAGGTCCTACCTTCATGCACATTCCAGCACTTTTTAAAATATGTTAAGTCAATAAACAATATTTGAGTCAATAACAAGGCACTAATTTATGCAACCCATCTTATTAGGAAAATTATGCGTGCGTTGCAATCGTAATGAATCCGATTGTGTTATACCACGCAGAGATGCAGGCATAAGCAAATTCCAGGTAGCTGTTGGATAGTTATCGGTCGAGCGCGGGTTTTCATTAGGCGATAATGAACCAAAGCCACGCATGCTTCGAGTGATTTATTCGCGCTTCGTTTCCATCGGTAATTATCATCGCGACGCAGCCAAGAAGAAATAATCACGAATGCAATTCGTAAGAATGAAAGTTTTTCATCATTTTTTGCCTTATTGATTCTGCCTGCGATATAATATAATTAACTTGCGCTTGTTACGCGTTTACGGCGATTGCATTTTCAATTCACCGATACATTATGATTTAATATCTTGATTTAGATTAATCTGATCTTATTTATACCGTCCTTATGACTTTATTATGTAACTGAGTCTTGCATCAACAATATTTATCTAGCGACTGATCGATTAATCACTACTTGCGGTAAATATTTTACAACTTGCATTTCCACATTAACGGATATTTCTTGCGGCGTACGTTATAATAAAACTAATTAATATCAAGTAAATTATTTAATATTGCTAAAGTTATAGCTGTGGCAAAGTTTCCGTTTCCTATGCACGTTTATTTTCATTATTGCCCGATTACCACGCAAGCTGACTGCCTAGCATCAATTATTTATTCTTCCTCGCGAATTATTTACATGCAACTGAAAAAAGTAAGCAGAAATAAGCGGAATTCCGTTCGAATCGCGAAACGACTGCGTTTTACAAGTCATTACGCCGCTGATGCTACCTGTCTATCAAATCTGAACGGAAGCCGGCATTTACTTAGCTGCAATTTTCTTATTTTCTGCTTGAGCGTTGAAAAAACGTTCAGTTAGACATATTAGTCATGCAATCATTGTCTAGAAAAACAGCAATCTGTCAGCAAAACTTGAGATAATTTGATTTCGAATAGAATATGAAATTTTCTTTTTCTTGCACTCGTATCTGCATTTTAAAATGCACCGCATCAAAGTTGAAAGAAAATGTGATTTCAATTTTAACTCAGTGTTCCAAGAATAATTTTATTATCGGTTCACATTTCCTTGCCTTATTGCACAAGACCGACAAAAGTTTGCATTATTTTACGTAATTGAAAAGCAAATCACAAACAAGTGACCGACATCCGACTCCCACAACGCGTTATAAACTTTTATTTGCGTTCGCATGAAATCATAATTTAAAAACGAAACGGAATTTAAATTCGAAGGCGTTTTGCGTGATGTAATATCGGATAAATTCTTTCCATTCTTTTGAAAATCAAGTAGAGTGTAGAATCGTGAATAGCAGTAATTAAATAACTATAATAAATCATTTCATTGCAACCTGCTGCAAGAGTTGCTATTAGATATCATAAATTCTCAACAATATCTTTGCATTTGCATGCTGCGTGCAAAAATCAATTCCTTATCATGTTTTATTTACAACACAACATTCCGTTGTTGGTATTCAATTGAAAGAAATGGGGGCAGCACAATGCAGGCCGACTTAAGATAAGTTATGTTTTGAACGTTCGGTTTCAACACGTGTTTTTAAAATGAAATTTTAATTGTAAGAATGCAAAATATGGATATATTCAAGTGATGCAGTAGATTGGCCGATTGCAGGTGAACGTAATATTATTCATTATTGTGTTGTACTAATTGCAGGTCTTCGTTTGAAGTAGCCTGCGATCCCGCGATGGATGAACAAACGGCGCTTGTCTTGGCCCTGCAATTAGTGGCATTGTTTTCGATCGCTGGTGCGCTCCTCCTCTATCTGTTGTGCAAAATCAAAGCCGAAACGGATGTGGAGACGGCGGACAGTTCGCCGGGAAGTGGCAAACCGATATTGGTTACGTCCTGTGACAATGCAGTCGGATTACAGGTATTTATCGCGTTATATCATTCATCGCCGTTTCTAATCTCATTTCTAATTCCAGATAGCAATATATTTAGCAAATCGTGGTTTTCGTGTGTTTGCTGGCCTGAAGGAAGGTGCATCTTCCGGTGACTCGGGAGATTCGGCCCCGTCGAGGGTAATACGTGCCTGGCAGAAGGAAAGGGAAAGTGCCCCGCGGCCCTTGCAAGGCACACTGGTCGCTCTGCCATTAGACGTTAACCGAGAAGATTTGCTCCATGAATCTGTTGATATTATCCGCGCGCATTTACCAGCTGGAAGAGATGGTGAGAAAAGTTTGTTTTTAATTCGATTAGCGCTTTAGTGGTTCCGTTTCACACTGATGTACTCAGCTTGTAATGGAGAGTTGGTGTTAAGAGTTGCGCCAACTGCTATAAAACACGGACAATTAAACAATAAACTTTATGATGAATGACGACGTTTCTATTTTTTGACCACCTGCTAGTTACCATCAAGGATTCAGTCGCATCATAAGCGTAAAATTGATTAACTACGTGTTTACTATCATAATTAACTAACGTCAACACAAGGCGATTGTAATCAAAGCCTGAAGATACGAATTTCGATTAAACAAATAAAATTGTTTTGTTTTAGGTCTCTGGGCGGTGATTAATACCTCCGGCTTACTTTACAAAGGCCGTTTGGAACAACAAAATGTCTCCCACTGGGAAGCCATCATGAAGACGAACGTGCTGGGTTTGTTACGCGTCGCACGCACTTATCAAGGATTATTACGGAATACCAACGGTCGTATTATTACTTTCGGAGCTTCGGAGGGTGAAGAGTCAGGTCTTGTTGCCTACACTGCATCTCGGTATGCCATCAAGGGCGCTGGCAATGCCCTTCGTCAGGAATTAGCCCCGCTCGGTATCGGCGTAGTCAACTTAAACCCAATTGGGATATCGAATGAATACATGTTGACTCCACCGAAAATTGTCAAGTATACTCCTCAAAAATCCATATCTCAAACAGTGACTTACAGAATGCATTTTTTTAGTAAACCCAGCGAAGTCTCCGTGGATTTATCAGGCTGCTTGGAGTATCAGCCTGTCGTACTGCCACACAAGTCATTGCAAGTTATCGACGAAGTTCTCTCGAGTCAAAAGCCTAAAAGGAGCTATAATCTAATGGAGAAGCGTTTGTGGCAGATTCGGCCATCGGATATTTTCAATATCGCTTGAAAGAACAAACATTTGTATATATTATACTCAGACTTTCTAGGATTCTTGTTTTCTAACCGTGTTAGTGGCTCATTTTCGCATTTGTTGCCCCCTTGTTTTGTTGTACATATAAATTAACTTTAAATAAATTTATTTTTTACTTATCCGTAAGTACAAATCAATATTTCACATAAAATTCGCGGTTCCTCAACGGGATTGCCTTCACAATCGCTCCCTTTAAAAGTTTTGAACAAACTGCGGATTTACTAGGAAGAACCAGTAAAGCATCCGCTTCTGCCAGACTGTTTAATCTGCTACTGATTTGATTGGCGGTGGCAAATTGGGCCAATTTTCGTCCATTTTTATCCGACGATATTTTAACCCTCATATATTCAGGACGCACATCCAAATTAACGTCCTTATCCTGAGAATAAAATTGTTAAATGAAATGGAAAATAAATTTAATATTGCAATATTCGTACTAGAATCAAATCAATCATTTGACGTCCCTCTTGTAATACATTGTACCTTCTTAAGAATGGTAGTACAAACAACAAGAACGTGACGGATGCCGATACTGGGTTTCCTGGCAACGCAAACACACATTTCCATTTTCCCTTGAATTCACACGTAGCAAAAGTTGTAGGTTTTCCAGGTTTCATATCAACCCGCCCGAAGTGAATTGAAGCATTGAAGTCCTGAACGAGTACCTGTTTGATTAAATCAAACTCGCCCATTGATACGCCTCCAGTAGTAATGAGCGTATCATGCTTTGCAAGTGCAGCCGATATTTTCTGCTTTATATCATCAGGACTAAAATAAATAATTATATTAATTATGTTGTCGGTTTATGATATCAAATTGACATACTCGTCTCTGGCAATTCCACAATCATATCCCTTGAAGTTATGTTGTTCAAGTAAGGAAAGCAAAGTCAGCTTGTTAGAATCGAAAATCTTACCAGATTGCAACTGGCCACAGCCAAGTCTCTGAAGTTCATTTCCAGAGGAGATAATTCCAACTGATCTGCGAACATACACATCAATTTCTGTTATACCAACGGCGGCCATTATTCCAATGTGGGCTGGGGTAATAATTGTGCCTTGGTGTAGTATATCTTCATCCACTGGTATGTCAGAACCAATGGGCCGAATGTCCAAACCAACAGAAGGAGACACGTTTATTTTAACCTCTAGTTCTTTCATATTATCATCTGAGGCTTTGACCAATTCGGTGTCTTCCACTTGAACAACAGCATCAGCACCATTTGGCAATGGTGCACCTGTGCTGATCCGTATAATTTCTCCGCTTTTTAACGTGAATTGCGCCGGCTAAAGTATTAGATATTCTTAGATAATTTGTTTTATAAAATTAAATAAATCGTTACCAAATCACCAGCTGCTATTACTTCAACAACTTTTCGTATCCCGGGTCCATCAGCGGCAATCACCGCGTAACCATCTTTGGTAGAGGCAGGAAACGGTGGCAAGGGAACATTACTTCGTACAGTAGTTGCCAACGTCCTACCGAGGGAATCCTCAATCTTCACTATACATTGTTCCGGTTCGAACCTATACATATTATCACAATCACTCATTATCTCCTGAGCCTCTTCAACAGAAACCATGGGATACGGGGACTTGCGATTTCGTAAAGCTACACATCCAAGTTTTACTTTACTCTTCTCGGTATCATCACCCACAATAGTTCCTTGAACGATCTGATGGGCCTTAACAACCTCAGCCTTCCTATCCAACATCAACTCCACAGCATGTTTCAGGGTCTTGCCCACAAAACCGAAACATTCCACGGATGCCTTCTTACTACCCGGGAGATTCAAAATAAGCGTTTGCTTGCGAACGCCGCAGACAGCACGCGATAACATTGCCATGGGTGTCACTTGCATGCTCATGTGATTGATGTGCTGGGTGACCGCCGGCGCAAGTTTATCCAGAACATCGCGGGTTGCTTCTGGAGTGACATCCCTTGGGGCAAATCCAGTGCCACCCGTGGTCAGCACCACGTTGCACTTCTTCACATCACACCATTCAATCAGCTTCGCTTTGATTGCTTCATAATCATCAGGAATACAATCAAGAAGAAGAATCTTGGATTGAGGGTAGAATTCTTTGACCAAAGCGCAAAGAGCAGGTCCGGAATGATCCTCTTTTTCACCAGAACTACAACTATCGCTGACTACACGCATTAAAAGTAAAGAAAATCAAATAAAAGTAATAATAACTTACTTGTAAGTATTCCAAAGGTAAACGCCATGGTTCCAAGGTTGAAGAAATTAACTTCAGCGTTCAAAATGTCTGAATATACTAAAATAAAACGAAAGGTTAGTTCAACGGGTAAATAAAAAGAACAAAATATTATTTCATTTACAAGTGGATATCAAGATTCAGCTGCCACGCATGTTTAGAAACGATTGCAAGCGATTACTAGCATTGCGTGCGCATTGGAATAAACAGCATTACACTAGAGTTATTCATACAGTTGACATGAAACACCGATATCAGTAAAACTAGAATTACACCGAGTTCTCAAAACAAGGTTGACACTCGTTACCGAAAATTAGGATATTCTTTTTTTAAAGTAAATAATTCGTACGAATTCCATATCATAGTTCAACAAAACAAGGTTTAACATAATTTTGCTCGTGCACTTATCGCTTTTTGTACGTGCTCGAATAAATGTTAGTGTAATTAAGTCGACAAGTGACGTAATGGCTTGACGCTGTTTACACTGGGTTATCAATGTTACTAATATTCGAATTGAAGTTTTTTTTTTATCTGCGCACTGCCACCAACTGGCGCTGAATTGATCGATTGTGATAATTGCCATACAACTCTTATACAATGTATGCTATGTGAATCATTCATCAATCATTCGATGGAAGCATTAAAAACATTAAAATCACGCGAATTTAGCGCGAAAAATATTTGTTTTTTCTTCAAATCGAAGACAATCGTTAATTATGCGCAATTCCCATTCGTGTCAGCCGTATTCAGGTCAAAGTACTAAAAAGTCGATAAAATATAAAGAAGAAGAATTCATCAAACGCAAACGTCGTCATAAATAGATGAAATGTTTCTCTCCTTGCTCGTCGTAAACTCTCTCAGGAAAGCTTTGTTATGTGTTTCTAGTTACGCATTAATTTCGGCTACCGCATGTCGCAATGAAAAACTTGAACGTTTACTTGCATGCGGCTACTGTTACGTTAATAACGACCTGTCATATATCTGATGCAGAGTTTGCACTTGCAGCGCTTTACTGAACTGACAGCACACTTAAACCCCGCGCGCGTAAACTTTGCGAAATTGGATATTAAAACCGAAATCAATTCATTTATGTCTAGCGGTGATTACACACTGGGAAATAAACGATGTCAATTTGACGATATGTTAAGTTTTTATCTACTTACGCCAGTACTTAAAATTATGCACTAATAAACAACAGAAAAAAAAAGGTTTATAAAAGTTAGACGTTGGTGTTTCGCTACAACACCTTTTGTTATTCGCGTTAAAAATAATTTAATTGCCGCGCGGAACGCTTGTATTTGCACGTTTTCATTCGGCGCGTTTTTTATTATCGTAGCGCTCGCCAATTATTAGAAATATTCTTTGAAACATGCACTTGTGACGCCATTTAACTGATAATAAATACCAACACGAAAATATAAATTAGGAACAGCTAATCCTAGTTGCTTTTTTAAACTATCGTAAACACGCCACAAGCCGGTAAAAGTTATCGATAATAATACGTTAGAAACGTTTTATTGTATGGAATAAACGCATAAAAGCATCGAAGCATTGAATATAAAAATAAAAATGAAGTATGCATAAAAGAGTCACGGTCATATTCATTCTCCCTGGGTTGTTTAGTTTTTTGCGCATTTCTCGTTCTTGGAAACGACCATAAAAATTTTGCAAAGTTTTATTGGGGTTAGAAAAAAAAAATGAACAGACCTTGGAAATGCAATTTGCAGTTTCTTGCATTAATAACTGTAATTAAAAACAAAGTTGTTGATCTCTTGTCAACGTCAAAACTTTTAATTGCAAATTTAGGTCCAAATAATTTTAAAGATCAAAATTTTACCAAGAATCACCTCAGCTAATTTAATCTATGTATAAATATTTACACACGGCTTCAAAATTACTTTGCGAAAATCCTCATTCGGATCATTTGTGCACGTCGCTGTTCACAGGAAATTAATTCCCAAGATCACCTACTGAGCAATTGCACGCATAAATAGATTCAACAAGTTTTCACAATTCACAAAATTGATTCATTAGATATAAATTCTGGCTGGTAATTGCATTCAGTAGACGTCATATGAGTAGACAGATGTGGATGCGAGACACGTCGAGATGCTGAACCGATTGCAATGCAATTAATTGCAAACAATTACTCAATGCGATCGCACGTAGCGTGGTGGTATTGAATTACGTCCAGTGCGCGGATCGGATATCGCATTGGCCATATTGGAATTTCAATTTTTCACACGACCCAGCAGGAATTGAACGCGGCTTGAACTAATATCGTCAATTGACACTTATTGACCCTCGATAGTTCGCCAATCAAGTAGTGCGCATCATTAAACTCATACTGATTGCTCGATATGCAACAAGTTATCATGAAATGGACGCGATATTTGATTCTGTAAATATTTGCTGGTCATACAATGTTACCAAATATCAAATTTGTGATTAATTTAATAAAATGAATTAAAAAAATGATTAAAATCATTTTGGGTGATGTAGTAAAGAACAACACTGAGTATACAATGCGTAGGTGCCTGTGATCAATCAATCAATTTCCCTTGAATCAATTGCGACAAGATGGCGGCTTGCATGCGATGAATCCAGTCACAATGCAAGTGGGCGCTCGCCGTGCGCGCTACACATTCACTCGTAAAATTTTTATACTTTTCGTGAGATTATCCAGTGAGAATGATCGCGTTGGGCGTGTTAATGGCGGTGGCGGCGTGCGCAAACCACCTGAGCGTGAGCGACGCGCGCGTTTGTTCCGACGTTATTGTGCGCAATGGTGTACACCAACTTCGAGCGGCTTTAGACAATTGTACAATCGTCACCGGGCAATTACAAATCGCCCTCATGACGAAAACCACCACCAAAGACTTCCAAGGTGTTTCATTCCCAGCGCTGCGTAAGATCTGGGGACTTTTTCTGATGTTCAACATTCGGGGACTGCAATACTTGGGCGCCATGTTTCCCAACTTGGAGATCGTCATCGGGGGTAATGTGTTTCCAAACTACACGTTCATTTTGTACCATTTGCCGGACTTAAAAGAAGTGAGTATAGAATATCTTAGATTATATCTTTTGATCAGTAAATGTGTTATAAGTAATAAAGTAGTTTGCTGGCTCATAAATTCTTCTATATCACTCCTCACGCGGAAAACGCTTCACGCTGTGATGCCTACAATGCCGCTTAATATCCTGCTAGGTTGCGGCCGGCGGGCGGGCAGGATGCGATCCGGCTAAACGCGTTTAGCCACCCCCGGCACCTCTTTTTGCTTGCGCACGTCCCGGGCCCACGTGGGCGAGTGATATAAAACTGCGTAAGCAGCGGGAGTCGAAAACTTCGAGAACTTTGGGACTAACCTGCCGGATGTAGAATGAGCACGAGCACGACCACCACACAGGGGGTAGGAAATGTATACAGGACCGGATTAACACCCAAAAAATTATTATAATTTCAAAATTAAATTCTTAAGCAAAATTTTTCAAAACTGAAAAATTTGTGTTTTTGTTTTAAACTTTTGTGATTTTATGGTTGAATGAATTAAATTCTTCCCTGTTTGGGTGAATTTTCCCATTTCGCCAGGCCCCACTACCCCCCGACCGGTTATCAAGCACCTCACTTCTCTCTTCCATTCGACGCTCGCACGCACTCACGCATCCCTCCAACCCTCCTTGGGAAAAGAGCGCCGCCGCTGCCGTAACACCCGTAGTCCGCCGGCAGCACGCAAACGTCGCGGCATTGAATCGCGCGCGCGCCTACTCTCACTCTCAGTCAACACGCGAGTCGCGGCCGCCTCAGTTGGACGCGGACGATCGCAACGCTAGCATGTGCCTCATCGCGACGTGGTCGACGACGCGCCGTTGTTGTTGCCGCTACTTCTGGTGCTGGTGCTGTGACGTGCCTCTTCGGCCGCGATGCTATCGTGCGGACGCGGACGCGCGCTTACCGCCGTTATCCTGACGATCCTGGTGCTGTGCGACCATGCTGTGGAGCGCGGTGCCGCCGTAAAATGCGGTTCACTTCGGCTTCAAAACGAACTTGAAGATCTCAGCAAGTTGGAGAACTGCACCATCATCACCGGATATCTCTCGCTGCTGCTCATGGAAAAAGCTACCGATGAACACGACTGGGATAAATATTCCTTTCCGAATTTGATTGAGATCTGGGAGTATTTGTTTGTTTACCGCGCGCGTCGACTTACGACTCTCGGCAATCTCTTTCCGAATCTGCGATTAATCAAAGGACAGGAAACTATTCACAACCATGCGTTAGTTATTTGGTCAATGGATAGCTTACAAGAGGTATTAAACATTTTTTGGTCTTTACCGACGAATTGTTTGCAAATAAACATGACGCCTAGATTTTTTACGTCGCGCTGTGCGCGCGTTCAATTCGGTTGGATTTTTTTTTGGGTCATGGACACCTACCAAAAACCGGCCTCCACGCGGTAGCTAGAAGTCTCGCACGCACTACGCGTGTGTCTAACGTCTAACGCATTCCACTACTTTCGAACAAAATCGAAAACTTCTTCCTGTTTACGCAAACTGCGCCGCGCTGTGCTCGCGTTTAAACCATCCGGCGCGCAAAACTCCAAATACCCACTACAATGTCAATTGTATGGAATGCCGCTCAAGGTTTATTTTAGACGATTCTCGGTACGCACAAAAAATAGCAACGCGGTTCGCCTGAGTTCAAGGTATGCGCAACTCGTAAATACGACACAGAGAGCGAAAAAAACCGAAAATTTTCATGGATGCGACCTCCTGCACGGCGTGCGTGCGTGCCGAGCACATTGTGTTCCGTTCGCACTACGAGCAATTCATGTGCTTCCTAGCCTCCAGGTTTGCTCACATCAGCAAAACAAACGCGGTTGCTTCAGCGAAGATTCGCAATCAGCAAGTCGGTTCATATTATTCACATGTCTGGTCTAGTTTTACACCCATATATTGTACATTCATCAGATTCAAATCAGGGCCTCCAGTATGACGACAGGGAATATCTTAATAAATACGATCTTTGTTTGCGTGAAAATTCTTCGCGATGAATCACTTCGATTGATTGCAAAGTGATGATTTGCGCATTTCTTACAAAATATCATGCTATGTCATAAATTGTTGTGCAATTGTTGGATGTTAATTTATCAGAGGGTTGAAGAAAAAGTGCTCATCCGGTTTGATACGATCACATCGCGGTTCCCCTTACGAAAAGGTTTGAATCCATCTATTTAGATAGACTAGATGAACGCAAAAAGAGGCGAGCAACGCACACACAAAAAGAACGATAGCCTGATGCACCCCCTTTTTGGAAATAGGCCATTGCCACAGTGCCAGTGGCATCAAATTTAGCACCGCAGTTCTTTATGTGGTAGCCGCCTGCGTCTCTCCCTTGACTCGTTTTATTCTTCTTTTCTTTCATTTCGTAAGTTACGACATGCTCCCTCTTGTATTCTAGTTGGTTTCTCGCTGCGCTGGGAAAAATTCTACGATTTCTTCACAATATTACACCTTAAATAAATATTTAAACATGCGTTGGCTGACACATATCAATAGAATGCCGATAACAAGATTACACATGACACTACCGTGGATTAGAAATTCCAACTGTCTGCTATCTATAAATATGTTTCATTGAAAGTGCAAGTTGGATGCCTGTCTGTGTTTCAAACACAATGTAATAAATTAAATTGTCATGTAATTTTTGCTCCACACGCGAAAAACGCCTTGGGCTTATGCGAAGAGCACGGCTTCATTATCAGTCGCGCTTGTTGACACTGATGTTATAAACAGTCGTGTCGTTTTCAGTTGCGGCGATGCTATTATTAGCTCACGGATTAAATTATCATCGTCGTTCCCAAAACATTTGATTCCTCTCGACACAACAAGCGAAAGCGTTATGTACGCATGGAAAAAAAATTTTTTTCAACGCAAAACATTAAACAGAACGTATTTTCGTGCGTTGATAAAGGAACAATCGACGAAAAATCCAATTAATTGAGTAATTATTTTTATTGCTGATTTTAGTGCGGTGTTTACAAATTGTAAGCATTTCAAACAATTAATTACCATCATCATTACGCTACAGTTTTGTTCGGCGTGTGCCCGGGTCGTCCTGGGCCGCTTTATTTTCTCGCATCCTTGAGTGGTTTGATTACCGACACGAACCAGCTTGGCGGCAAACCAACTCTACGTGCCGCGCACATTTTAAACACAAAATGCACCACCTGAGGATTGGTCTAATTAACTTGATGAAAACTAATCGGATCAAGTTGCGGCGAACATTTTCAAAAACCGTTTCGAACTTCGTTTGGGAAAAAGACTAAAAACACGTTGTCTCTGATAATATTCAACGCTGCGCAAATCGTAAAAGCGCAACGCAGTAAAAAACAACGCCGTAAAAATTGCGTCCCAATGAAATGGTAATTTCATCAATGCTGTGGCGAATATGGTTCCGGTAGGTTTTGCACTTGGACAACATGGCCGTACACTTAAATTTTCGTGCGTAAAAGCCAATGTGATTTACGTTGCGTTAAAATAGTTACGAGCCATTGTTCGGCCAAAACAATAGATTAACGTAAATAGCCTACGTACGAGGGCGCCTGGATCGTGCAACTTGCAACTTTTCCAAGTCGATATTATGAAAATCTACTTCCGCAACACTCTTACATCACATCCATGACGTAAGAAATTTTTGATTATTACTTTTTCATTTATTCGATTAACCCAATTGATAACAACCAGCCGCGCCAGCAATTGCTTACGCATCACGCTTCACACGCGAATTAAACGAATTGAAGGCATAAATCGTAACCGAAGCGTTCGTTAATTAATATTCAAATAAATTCGTCGCCTTGGTTTTATGAGGTGAGTTGAGGTTACGCTTGCAATTGACACGAAAACTTGATTATGATATAAAACGTTCTATTGCTTCAATTCATGTTCAATTATATTTCTAATAGTGTTGTGCGTTACATTATTTATTATTACATAAAATAATGCGTGTCTAGGTTGATTAATCGATTAAATAATAATCTCTACACTCGTTTTGGTTTGTAATATATTTTAGTTTAGTTATATTTTGGTCAACAGCAAATAAAATTATGAAAATTTAATTTTTGCCTCATATTTGGCACCGGCGTCAACTACGGAAATACTCAACATTAAAATAACTAGTCATTCCACCCTGTAGACATAAAATTATTTAATGTCTGTAATGCTGGTTGCCAATATAACGTTTTATTAAACTAGGTTAATGCCTGAATCATAGCAGTCGAAATGTGTGGTTAGGTTTTGGTCATGTTTATCGCTGTTGATCCATCGTGTCTATTTTTAGTTTTTACAACGCCCATAAATTAGTTTTTTGGTGGTACGGATTTTCAGCACCTGGACGTTTTACTGCGCGCGGCAAAACTTTCCGCCCTTTTTATTGCATCTATACCTATATTTCGCTTCTGGTCTTTTCTTTTTACCTTACACGCAGTCTATGTGCGGCTTTACGTCACCGTATATTTACAGATCACGCGTTCGCATGACCGTCCTAATAATAAATTCGCTGCTTGTGCGCCAAACAACTTCGTCAAGATAACTTACGGCAATGCCCCTCATTCGTCATAAACTGTCAGCGTAATTTCGCACAAGATTGACTCAATAACCGATTGTCATCATTGGATACTGATGGATGAAAGCAGTGAAATTCGATATTCTAAGTCATTTATATAATTGCCGGGCGTAAAATATTTTTCCGCACGTTTCTAACAGCAACCATAAAATAATAAAAAAATATATTTAGAATTTACGGTCTGTTATTTGCGATATAAAATTCCTAAAATATCACGTTCATCAATAAAAATACTCTCAGAGACACACATCGCTTGTAAAACTATTTTTGCGCTCTACCTTTCCATTTTCATTCATGGCGACTCTCAGGCGTAGGTCGTAAACAAGCGCGTAATTTTTATTTATTTATTTATGTCCAAGCAGGCACTAGAATTATTTATTAGCATTCCAGCGCTGAATAACGAACAATTAATAATTAAATTTGTTTAGATACTAGACTCTAACTAGTTTGACTAAAGGTAATTATATCAGTGTCACTTCCAGTACGAGAAACAATTAGATACACCCACATTAACTTAGTTATTGTGATTTTGACATTTAAGCAAACCAAAACTAATTAAGTATAAATTTTATTGCTAATTGAATTTGTTTTGTATCTCCATGATGAATTCTTCTATTTACGATCGAAATAAATGATGTTAACGATAAATCATTTTATTTGTAGGTAAATGCAATATCATAAAACATCTCTTTAAACGATGGTAGAGGCAGGCCTTGCAGGATTGTAATTTCAAACACGCGCGTGTGCATTTAATTTTTTTATTGTTTGACTATTTCTATTATAATCACACTTCGCATGGAATTGTAACATCTGACGAGCATCGAAAATATAATAACCGTTACTATCATGAGCTGGTATTAATTTTTGAAAGAGGACTTTGAGTCGGAATAATAAAATATCCAATCGATATCAATATTGATTTGATTCTTTTTCGCGGCAAAAAGCACGAGGCGGCCATAATTAAAAGCAAACAATCAGTCTTGTATCACATCGAATTATAACACCCGATTGCATTAAAATTGAAGTTTGAAGCTTGCACACAATTAAAAACAAAAGCCGAAAAGAGATTCCTAGAAATTGCAGTATCTCACAACATAACTTCGTTATTTCTATGTTATTTGATGTTGGATTTATATATTTTCAGTTCAGTTCTGCGATGCATTATTCAACTTATGTTTAAAAATAAATCTCGTTGAGATATTGAGGAAACATTGCTTCATCTTTTCTTGCGCTTAAAAAGGCATGAAATTAGGACAGAATTGTGTTCAAATATTCCACACGTCTCAAATTAATATGCAAATTAAATTTTTGTTTCTCTGAAAACTACACAAGTGTTTAAATATGCACGAAATTTTAGAAATTCAAGCCGTAACTGTTAAAACCAGTCGATTGGGAGAACCGAAAAACCAGCTTTGAATAAAAATGAAATAATCGTAAGGCGGGCATTTTTGGCGTCCGAATTAGAAATGGTCTAACGCACTCACATCGTACTCGTGGGTAACCGGTGCGTGCCTACCGAAAAAAAATGCACATTTACATACAAATGGGAATGACACTCGGTCGATCGCACGGACGGACAAAAACGAGGTTTTTCGAAATTTTTATCACCGGATAAATAAAATTCAATAAAATAAAATAAAGATAAGATAATTTAGGTTTTCTTATTTTCTTGGTGTTTTTGTAGACGTTTTCCGTGTTTTGCACGCCCCGCCATTAATAAAATTTAAACCGCGCGATAAGCATTAACATATCAGCAAAAAAATAAGACTACATCGCTTCATATTGCTATCAGTCGCCACATACGCGCGCAATGTTTATCATTTATCTGTTTAACTTTACAATTATACTCTCTACATTGTTACATTTGTATATAGACGCTGCTGACTTGTTTACATCGGCTAGTTCGCGAGTTTACGAGTGCGCAACAATGTTGCGAATGTGTACGTTTTAACACACACGGATTTATCGCGTGCGATTTCAAGTTCCACTTAAAATCGACGTAAAAATAACCACCGACGATGTTGATTTAGATTTATGCGTTCATCAAAATTTTACTCGCGCTGATTAAATTGCATATTAATTTTATTAAGTGTATTGCAAAACTTTGAAATGTTTGAAAGTTTTACTCAAGGCAAAATTGCAAAGTGTTTGTATAAAGTATGAATGAAAACGGTACATGTTTATTTGAACAAAGCAAACTAGGAGCGTTTTCACTCAAATCTCTAGTGAGTCAGCAAACATCCGCAGCTGGGATTTTCTTGCATTTTATCCGCTCGGAAACTTGAAATAACAATTTGTTTGCGTATATTATGCAATCCTCAAGCGCGCTCGAGTATGTAATGTCACTTTAACCTGGATATCTACTTCAATTTTCAAACAAAAAACATGAAAAAATAATTTTATTACATTTTAATTTTATATCGCTGCGTTTAGTATTCCCCCATCGAGGTGAAAGTAATTTGTTTAAAGTCCTAACGCGTTTGATGTTTTAATTATGCATTGAACATTTTAATTACTTAAGGTTCGAATTTAATTCTCGTCTCGAAAATGTAAACAACACATGTTGCGGAGATGTTTTTTACATCATCGGGAAATAAAAAAATAAATCGTTTTTAAATATTTGAAAAGTTCAAGGACCTTTCAACACAATAACTTGAATTTTCCTTTATCCAACTTTTCACCTGTTGAGTTTCCGCATTAATTTAAACTTATGAATAAACCATCTAATCCCAGCCAGGAGCTCTGGATATTCATGAGATAACATAAATGTTGATCTCGAGAATTGTGAACAATACGTGCTTTCATCGTTTCGAATGGAATAGTTTGCCCGAACGCAAATTAGGATGTCAGAAGACATGTGGATGCGTATCGACAATTATTGTTGATTAGGCGCAATACAAAACCGAAACATCGTAATTAGAGTCTAGTGGCTTTTGACGAAAGTAATTACATTGTCGTTTGCATACGCAGATTATTATTACACGTCAATTAGAAAATTTGGTTCACTGTTGCTAATGCTATAATTTGCACAGTTGTGAATTATGGTGGATGCGCCGGGTCTGTAAAACGTCTAAAACTTTGAAATAAAACCTGTTACAATGATATTAAGTTACCCTAAGAACGTCTAATGACGGTTAGGTGAATACAGAACACACAAAGTTCTATTCTGTTGCTTTATAACGACGCCAACCAATGCTATCCAATTAGGATGGAGAGTTGATTGCATTATTATCATCTAATATTGTTAATAGTTGCTGTGTGGAGCCTGGCATACAGGAAACAGATGCTCAGCTCGTGTTACCTCCGAGACCCTTTAATAAAACGACAAGAATTTGATATAAATAAGATGAACTGTTGTGTGAAGATGTCGGCGTTTATCTAGAAGCAGATTTTTAGATAATATTCATCCATCGATGCATAAAATAACATAAGTCATTGATACGTAAACGCATAATAAATTTGCTGAATATCTGGCGATTTGCATATCGAAACTGCGTCGCGCGCACGCTCAAACCGGACATGCAAATAATTGAATTCCAATTAATCGCTGGAATCGAACTTAATATAAAATCCGAACCAACAATATTAAAATATTTGCAATTAAGCACGCACTACCGACATCGCAATAAAACTTATTTATGTTTATATTATTGCGTTCGAATTCATGTTTTATTTATTTTTCATGTTCGCTGCGCGTCCTCATTTTCACTCGAGGACAAGTCAAAGCAATACCTGGAAGTGTAGCATGCAGACATCGACAAAAACAAGCAAAATAAAAATCGTACATCTTAAATTGATTTCTGCACCCGTTTCGTGTTGGTATATTTCAATTTCAACGCGTATGACATGAAAATAATGTCTCGCTACTTTTCATAACAATGCGATACATGGAAATTCAATCCATCTTCTATAAACAATCGAATAGAGTGATGGAAATTTTAGCACGAGGTCAATATGTAAATTGATATATTTTTTACTGCTGATTGTGATTGCAAAGCACATTGTGCAATATAATTATAAAATTAATTGTTTAGTCTATTTGATTGCGCGATTGCATACAATACGGTTTACTGGTTCTCTGCAGGAAACGAAACCTGTCGTAAAGTGTCGAAGTCGAGACCGAATTTGCAATGCGGATGTATGTTATGTCTGCGCGCCGCGCTGCCATTTAACGTGACTTTAATGTTGTTGTTTGTGATCGCAGCGAAGTATAAAATATCAACGTGTCTTGTTGTCGCAGCATCGACATCTCGTGCGTCTACGATTTATTTATAAATTTAGCCACACCTACACACATACACGCGGGTATTGTAGAAATTAAATTCCATTATCCATACACCGACCTACGCAAGGTTAAGCATATTAAAAAGCGCAGGACAACAGCAAATCGACGTCGAACGTGCGGATCACAATGCCAGGGCATTTTCCATGCGCGCACGTGTACGTCACCATTGTTTACACTCGCACGAGCTGTGAGCACGCAAGTGGAAATCGCCGTATCGATGATTTTCACTTTTCCACTCACGGGCGGAATAATTAAAGAGGATCATGCTTGTTACCCGAAACAGAAACATACATTTTTCGTGTTTGTAGAGTTTCAGAATGGATACAATGTAATGTAATCTACATTGAAAAGGTTTATAGTGTTGCTGTTTAGGAGAACGTTCAACTTTTATTGGCACCCGTGTGGCGACCGATGAGACGCCGGTTCAACGTTTTACAACTCCCGCGTAACTTTTATCGTCTGTGCACGACGCGAACTGTTTACTATGTTGTATTTTTATTTCCACCACACACTGACCGCACAACCACCAATGACGCGCACATTGGGACATGTCCTGTCAATTTGCCAGGATGTTGAGGGATATTTATATCCGACTCTGTAACCTTCTACAATGTTGCGTTCGAATTCCGCACGAATGAATCCCATTCATGACTTTGTAAACACATTTCGCCGGGAATGTGAACGTAAATGTACTACAAATTTCCATTAGAGAGGACTAATTGCTTAATTAATGGCGGCTGAATGTATTCAAGAGATTAATTCGATGCAATATTTACAGATCGGATTGAAAAACCTACGAAAAATCGAACGTGGACACGTTATGATTGGAAATTGTGAGAAATTATGTTATTACAAAACGATTGATTGGAACCTTTTGGGTACCGAGTTGAAAACACAAAATATGTCAACAGATTGCGATGCCATGACTTGTCCCGCACAGTGTAGTGGTAAATATTACAATTAAAATAAAAAATAAAAAAAATATATAAAAGAAATATTTTCAGAAGGTCATTGCTGGTCAAACACTGAATGCCAACGCAACAGTGCAATTACAGATGCAATTGATGATTGCATCACAGAAGAAGGACAATGCGTTGAGAAATGCTCCAAGGATAGGTAACATCTCACAACTTAAATTTACGCATTGTTTTAATTCCCTGCTGCTGTTTCAGAGTATTGTTAGCACCCGGAAATTTATGTATACCAATAAAGGAATGCAGCCAGTATCGTACGAATAGACAATGGTTTATCTACAACCAAACCTGTTCGAACAAATGCCCAGACGGTTACCATTTTGTCAACGGAACGTGCAAGTATTGTGGCAGTAGTTGTGTTCATATCTGCGATAAGCAAGTCGTCAACGCACTGACGTCAATCACCGGTCTGAAAGGCTGCACGCATATCAACGGCAGTCTTCAGTTTAGAGTCGATGAGGCCGATGTGGCTGATGAATTGGAGAAGTATTTGGGTGGAATTAAAGAAATCTGGGGCTATTTGAAAGTAACTCGGTCACCTGCGATTAAATCACTGGAGTTTTTGAAGAATTTACAACTTATCAGAGGCGACGTGCTCGATGATAAAAATAACTCGCTGATTGTTGTCGATAATCGTAACTTGAACAAGCTGTGGACGTTCGATTCGTCCTTCAAGCTGAAAATCAAACGCGGTAAGCTCAAATTCCATTATAACCCGCAGCTGCGCTATCGCGATATTGAAAAATTGAATAAGCTGACGATTAACATGGAATTCACACCAGTGCAAGTGTCGAAAGAATCGAATGGAGATCAGCGCAGCGAATTGACGCTGCATACCGAGTCAATTATTCATTCAACGAATGCTACACTCTCGTGGGAGGGTTATCGTAATCAAAGCCGCGGATTTTTCTTCTATTATATCGAAAACGAAGAGATTTTGAGTGGCACAGAGGATGCATGTGTATCAAATGCATGGAATGTTGTATTCACCACGAATAATTCGGTGACTCTGATGGACCTGAAACCTTATGCTAACTATTCGTATTACATTGTGGTCACAACAGCGAGTGATAAAACACAAGAACGGACTAACACAAGCACTTTTATGACGTTATCAGGGGATCCATCGGGGCCGCGCAACGTAGATGCCATTTCATTTAATGCCACTACTATTAAATTAACCTGGGAGCCACCAGCGGATATTCGTGGGATCTTAGATAAGTACGTAATCACCTACTACAAGATTCCCAAAGATGGCGAGACGCTAAAGACTCGAAACTACTGCACACATCCTGTGCATGAAGGATACCTTGGTATTCCACTGAAGGAAGAGGCGAATCCCATGAAAAATAGAGGGAAACTGCTGCCGAATGGCGACTGTGATTGTCCGATACCATACACATCATCAATGCGTCGTCGTGATGTGAATTTTGAAACAGTGGAAATCAATTTCGCACACTTTGATGATCAAATCAACGAAATTCTGAAGATGAATGACAGAAACGGGTACCTGATGGAGAACAACGATGTTGGTAATATATCCCAGCCGAATTTTAGTGAGCATCTCGTCAGCGCAGATCAAAATTCAACGTTGATTAGCAATTTGGACCATTTTTCGACGTATGTGTTTTATATCTCCGCATGCAACGAAAACCGCACCAAAGATAAACAGTGCAGTGAAATCGTGATGGTTTACAATCGGACAAGTGCATTGGCAAATGCCGATGATCTCAGTGATTTTACTATAGAGGGTACCAAGAGGGGAGTGGTTCTCAACTGGACAAATCCAGTTGCTCCAAATTCCGCCATTTTGTCCTACACCGTTCATTGGAAAGGTGAAACCTCTAGTGATCTATTGTGTGTTCTTCCAACTGAAGGAAAATATGCTGGTCATGTGGTGCATTTATTACCGGGTGTTTATGATATTCGCGTGAGGGCAGTTACCTTAGCAGGTGCAGGAAATTACACAGCCATTAAGAATGTTTATGTGGGCAAACCAGACTCAAATGACATCGGGCTCATAATCGGTTTACTAATCGCCGTAACGTTCTTCTTCGTGTGTGGAGGGTTTATTTTCTATCAATATCGTAAACGCAAGGAGTTGGAGAACATGCATTTGATTCAAACTGTGAATCCAGACTATTGTGGGTCTAGTTATGTGGAAGATGAGTGGGAGATAGCCCGCGATGATGTTGATATTGGTTCTAGTCTAGGTAAAGGTACTTTTGGTACAGTGTACTGCGGGTATATCAAAGGTAGACAAATGCCGTGCGCGGTGAAGACAGTAAACATCAGTTCGACGTACGAAGAGAAGATGGAATTCTTAAATGAGGCGTCAGTGATGAAATCGTTCAGTAATGCACATCATGTGGTGCGATTGTTGGGTGTGGTATCAAAAGGGGAGGCTCCATTGGTCGTTATGGAATTGATGGCTTGTGGAGATCTAAAGACCTTCCTGAGAAGGTCCGAGATTCATCGCAATCAATTGGGTGTAACGAAATGTACAGAATGGCGATTGAGATCGCTGATGGTATGGCCTATCTAGCAGCGAAGAAATATGTGCATAGGGATCTTGCCGCCAGGAACTGCATGGTTGCTGGTGATCACACCATCAAAATCGGCGATTTTGGCATGGCGAGAGATATTTATGAAACGGACTACTACCGAAAAGAATCCCAAGGCTTATTGCCTGTCAGATGGATGGCCCCAGAGAGTTTATCAGATGGTGTGTTCACAACTGACTCGGATATCTGGAGTTATGGTATTGTACTCTGGGAGATGGTCACCTTAGCCGAGCAGCCATATCAAGGTCTAGGGAATACAGAAGTGTGGGAGTTTGTAATATCAAAGGGTCGATTATCACGACCTCCAGAATGTCCAGATATTCTCTACGCAATTATGGAGGTGTGTTGGCGCTGGCAGCCTAATAAAAGACCACAATTTGCAGACATCGTCAACAGATTAGAGAGTCATGTCAGCGAGGACTTCAAAGTGATGTCATTCTACCATAGTCGTGAAGGACAAGAACACCGAATGACAGCCAGGGACAGACCTTTCAATCCACCTGCGATGTCTCAGGCTACCAGAAGGAATAACAATCCGTTCGCTCACTACCATCGCAGTGATGAGAACATCGGCCTCTACAACGACGAAAGCGACCCGATCAATTATCCCTCCAATCCGAACCAACGTCAGAATCTTCTCACCGACTATGTCCTAGAAGAAGACGATATTCCTGGCAGTAACGGGTATGCCAGTCTGACAAAAACACCGTAACTACTTTCGGATCATTCGCACTTGTATTTTGTAATCGTGACATACGCTAACTTATTGAATCATTGTTTGCCATATAGATGAATACGAAAAGAAGCGGAGTTGTTTGCTGTTGAGAGAGGGGAAGAGAAATTAATGTTAGAGATTTAACTATATCATCCCATCCGATTCAGGTAACAGAAATGTACAAATCGAACGCCGAATTATTCACACTCAACATGTTTTTGTATTATAACTGAATGTGATATCTTGTTATAGTCACTAGTTTAACGAATTGCGCCTGAACGACCGAATGTACGTGTTCGATGTACCCGCCTCGTCAATTTACAGTACCTACCACGTACAATGGCGACCCATATATAAAAAGAAATCAAACTATTTACAACTGATTTACTAATATTATACCCACCGGTGTAACGTAAACGTTCACTATTTTAAGAAAACGCCGCTGCCGCTGTGTCGATTCGATTCGTAGAGTTTACATTTTGTACGTTTACGTTTTATTTTTGAAGAACGCAACAGATATTGTTACAATAAATGATCGACTGATAGTGAGTTAGGAAGAAATATTGTTAGTATGAGTTGATTCATTATTTTAAACGTTTTTATTCGTTGCAAATCTGTTTCATTTAGGATTCTAAGTGGTGCGTGCACAAAGCAGAAAGTTCCTTTTGCGCTATAAACTTTAATTTAACTTCACTAGAGTTAGAAACTTTTGTAAACTGACAGGAGAATCATTAATATGTCAATAGGAAAACGTTGTTATATAGATAAATCTATGGCAAAGAAAGTTTCGGCATTGTTTCTGAACATGATTTGTTGATGAAATGAATGTCGTGCTATATGTATAATAGAGAATGCCGATGATATGAACAAGTACAATTATTTTAATTATATTTTTAATAACGTTATTAGGTAATTACTTAAGTTATAAGATATATTCGTGTTGCATATGAAAAAGTGTCAAAGAATATACCTAGATGATAAATATTAAATGAAAACTAAAATACCAAATGAATATAGCATAGGTGTGCAAACGAAGAACTTCATATGAAGGCATATGAAACCAGAAACGAATTATCATATGTATATTTATACAAATTTATAGCATATAAGTTGGAAGAAATTGTAATAAAAGACTATATTTTCTAAGTGTTGTATGTTTTAATAAATGTTTTCTACAAAACCGCCATAATCGGCTGTAATTTAAGTCTATGGAATATGCTCATCATGCTAATTAACCACTATGATGTTTGCTTCATCATAAAACCTTGAACTACCGAATGAATATTATCGTCGAGCCATAAACTGGTAATAATGATTAATGATTTGTTAACTTGTTGTTTTTATCGATTTGCGTACATATTTCATGCAGGCGATAAACTTGTTGGAAATAGTTTTAACTTACATATAATTTCCCAGTGCAGTAATGATGAATATTTTAAAGTCTAACTAATTATTTCTTTTCTGTCAAATTTAAAAACCCTTATAGAAAACGAGCGTAAATAGATGACTGTCATGCATACAAATTGGTTCAGATTTCAACCGACAGATGTCGCGTCAGGTACGAATAGTGAATTTATTCGTTTGCAGCTTCACTTGTTTTGTTCGAGTAACAATAAACGCGAATAACAAATGCACCTGAGTGGGTTCGATTAATATTCCATAGTAATTTAACACTTCATTAGAGCCGGATTCATTCGACACAATCGCCTGTGAGTTGCGCTTGCCTGGTATTTATATAAAACATTTTTAAACTAATCGTATCATAACCCAACATTTTCGTAACCGATTCTTCTACACATCATCAGCGTTAGAAACGCGCGTATTGTTTAGCGTATGTATTTTTTTAATTACTTACATGGGCAACGCACGGCGTGCTAATCTCGATGACAAATATTTCGCTGCGTATCACGAGCACAATTCGCACCATTCACAACAAGTTTATCAACGTGTGAGGTCGGTGTACAACCTTCGTGTGTAGTAAAGTAATGATGGTATGTATGAACGAACAACTCAACTTGTCACGTTGGTTATCCACTTGCCATAAAACGTTACATAAAACGTTTATGTCGATATGGAATGTTAGAGGTATTTGCTCGTGTATGAACTACGTTGAGTTCTTTTTTTGGATTAATTGAGTTTATAGCAGATGGGAGAAGGTAATGGTATGTTAGGCAAGCGATAATAATCAAAATTCAATTAGATTACATAATTCTCTGGTAGTTAGTTTGATTGTAAACAATTTGTTTAGTTTACGAACAACAAACAACAAATTAATAGGAAATGGTAATATTTTTGATTGGCAATTGTGGGTATTTCACAACAATTCATTAAAGTGTATTGGAAAGTGCGTTGTTGTGTGTAATATTAGTAAAATTATAAAATATTATTAATCCGGGACATAACGAGAGAGAAAAGAGTGGGGAGGGACCTAGGGAACTGTGAATGAGTTGCTGGCTACCTGCAAAATGTGGTGGGGAAGCCCACGATACTTCCCCCTCTCTTTTTTGGAAGTTTCTCGCAAAAATCAGTCAAAACCTTAAAGGTACTCTTAAAATATTTATTGTATGATTTACTATTTGTACTTGTTCATCTAAAAAGTATGCTACATAACTTTTATTGCGAAATAACTTCGTATCAATAGAAATCCTCATCAGTTTCACGTCCTTGAGCTAATCGCTTACCGATCGGCGAACTCTTGTCAATGGTCTCGCTTACAGTCTCCAACTTAAGTGTCCCCTCGTGTGAAGAGTGCTCCGAATGTGGTTCGTGGATTAGCCAAAACTGGTCATCTGCGTACCCACTCTTGGGCGAAACTCCGAGTGAGGAAACAATGAGCCCTGAAACATTTCATTTACCTTGTAAAACTAAAACAAAACATTTAAAAACACACAGTACACTGAACAAACAATTATTCATCGTGAATTTCTGCGTAATTTTATTTCATTTAATTGTGTTGAGAGTTTTTATTGCGCAGATTTGTGATAAATGCAGTTTTGTGAGTTGAAGAAAACGGTTATAATTAAAATTCTCCCACAGCGAGCTTAGAAAGGTCGACGCAAAAGCTCGTAACCACAAATCGTTAAACAATTACGAGCGCGAGCAATTTAAACGCGCTGTGTAATAAATTCTCGATTATGTACGATATACAGACTACCAGGGAAGTGTGAGTGCTCGCGGCGACAAGTGCTCAAATAGTTTAAACACACACACATCTACACATGCAAGTGGTGTGGGTGTGTGTTGATCGAGGGCGGTTGTAAAATACCGGAATGCACGTAGCGCCTTGCATCGTAATGCTCGCACGTCGATCATAAATGCGTCCGACGCTTATGACTGGCGCGTGATCCGAGTCAAACGTGTTGTAACGCACTTGCTCGAGAAGCTTTCCGATCGCTTGCGAATTGTTTGCGTCGCCGGCGCCATCAGTGAGCCAATAACTGTCATCGTTATACCAACTTCCGTATGCAAAGTCGAGCGCATCCACGCTCACTACATAACCTAAGATGGTGGTAATTTTTATTTTAGTATTTTAAGTGATATTAGTATTTTTATATGTTTTATAAGTAATGAATTATTATTTTGTGTTATAGATGTTTTTTTTTTACCAGTAATGGCACCGGAAACAATGGCGATGGCAATGGTGGCCGCAATGGCCGCCAGTTGAAAGCCTGCCTGAGTGAGATTGGTGCGGCCATCGCCCGGCTGGAGAAACGGATACTCTGCGGTGGCCTTAGCGTCGACGGCCGCCATCGCCGGAAATATCTGATACAGACTCATCTTGTACTGGTCCTCGGAGGCGAGTCCCGCCATTAGTGCCCCGACCAACGCGGCTAATACCGCTGGCATGCCGTGCAAGTTATGCACGCCGCACGTGTCGTGTATTTTTAATTTGCTATCGATCCACGGCTGGAATAAAAAAAAAAATAAAAATAAAAGCAGGAAGAAAAAAATAACCGACGAAGCGGAAACGTGTTAATAAACGTTATCGAATTTCCGGCGGCGCACAAAACGTACCGTGAGCATGCTGTAACCGCAGACCGAAATAATACCGGCGATACAACCGATGAGCATTGCTCCCCACGGCTGGACCATCAAGTTGGCGGCCGTGCCGATGGCTACGCCGCCGGCGAGCGTCGAATTCTGGATGTGCACCATGTCGAACTTGTGCTCACTGGTGAGCATCGCCGACATGGCGTACGAAGTAACGCAGCAGGCGCACAGCGAGAGATAGGTGTTGATGACGGCGCGCTGTTGATCATCACCGGTTTGTTCAGCTGAATTAAAACTCGGCCAGAACATCCAGAGAAACACCGTACCTGCGTGAAAATGACGCCGAGTTAATTCCAGAAATTGTAGGTACATGCGCGCCTGTGTCTGCTGGTAGGTAATGATAATGACAATTGAATCTAAATCTCAATTATCGAGCCACTTAGGCGGCGCCTCCACCAAAGCGGAACAACTGGCAGTGGAGAAAGTCGCGTCGGGCTTTTCTGCTCCCAGCACATAAATTCCGAGCGAAAATCCCTTCCGGTGCTCCCTTTTCACCCAATTTCCGATCTTTATCTGTTTGAAAGCAATCATTAATGAAGTCCCACCGAAAGTAGTCCCAGATTTACTCGAAATTCTTTTATCGAATTCCTCGGTCGCCTTAATGTGCCACACGTCTTTTATGTGCACGCGTCGCCAAGATGCTGATGCAGAGGACGCACGCCGGTAGAAGAAAAGCAGCTCTACACTCGTAAAGTTATAATATCTTACCGATCATTGCGAATAAATCCGACGTATAGCTGGATCCCTCCATGGGATTTGCCTCGGTCCACTCTTTCGTGCGCCTGGCCAGGACGTAACTTACGGCCAAGCCGAAATAAGCCCCGAACGCGTGGACAAATATTGAATCGCCAGCATCTGTTACCTAAAACATTCGGAGAATTATTCGATTTTTTCGCGTCGCACGTTCGGTTTTTGTTGTGCGCGCACGTTTTTTCCATTTTATGCCGCAACGCATATTGTTCTAATAGTTTTCTACTTTTCCCCTTGTTATTACTACATATGTGTACGCACATACACGTTGTCCGGAGTGCAAACGTCGAACAAAGCATTGCGAGTTCAACCCTCGTACAAATATTGACGCTGGCTGGTCACAACTTTTTCAAGAACAAAAACACAACAAACACGCTGAATAAACGACCGGAAATTGTTTTCATTTTTGGCGATGCTTTTTATTTTCTATGTAAACATTTTCTTTACTGGCACATCGTGTGTGTGTGTGTGTGTATATGTGTGCAATGCGCGCGGGAGATCTAAATTCCCGTTTAAGGATAAACTTTTAGGACAGAAACTCAATTAGAACGCCGCCAAATAAACCTTCTTTGAAAACCTTTTCTTACGCGCGGAAGTGCCGCAAAGGAAATGAACACAAAGGAAGCAAAAGAAAGCTAAATGGTAAAAGTTTTTCGCATTCTATTTCGTGTGTATTATAGCTGTATTTAACGGGTGTGAGCGTGGGTGGCGCGCAGTTACCCCACGTCTCTCTCTTTTACTTCATCGCTTTGGTAATCAAATACGGTAATATTGTGATGCTGCATTAACTCTACTCTAGCATAGTAGATAACTTCCGGTTCCGGCACTCTCGTGTCCTTACACAACGCAAAAAACTTGCTGCAACAAAAGTTTACCTTAAAAATGTGACTGCCTAGATAGGAATTGCCTGTGAAGACGGCGATCTCGATGATCCCGATGAGTAGCAGTTGGATGTACGAGGTGCGACCGAGAAGGGCTCCCATCGTTATCAACACGGTGGCCGCCGCCACGTCAGCGCGCAGGAGGCTGTGGAATGCAAATAAATACATTTCGACGGCGTGCCGGTCACGTTCGTATCATGCTGTGATAACTTTACTGCCGCGCGGGGCTATAAAATATAAGTGCATTGAACCGAATTGCCAATTGCCGACGGAATTCGCATGCACCTCGGATTCGTATTGATTTTTAATCAGATTCCGTTCTAATAGTTTGCGCTCAGTTTTGCCAATAGCAGATAGTTTTATCGCCGGCATAATAAGTACCGCTGCCATTATTTATGACTTCACAATTCGTCCCGGCGAACTTTTTCCGAAAGTTTTCAATAATTTCCAATTTAATGATTTATTACACGGCGAAAATGAAATTTCCAAATTAATATTATGTTTCGATCATACCTGACAATGCTGATTTTAATTTTATTATCTTCCATATCGTAAAATCCCTCGCATATAAGCGCCCATTGCACGATTAACGACGCAAGCAAAAAATTAAATCCAACCGCGCTGAATCCATATCTCTTCAGAAACGTCATCAGGAAACCGAAACCGATGTAAATCATCACATGAACATCCTGAAACACTGAAATTCATCATTGTTTTGGTTAAATGTTTTTTAGTTGTTGAAGAAGATTGATGTGCTACAATTATAATACACGTTGATGATGTTCGACTCGGGTCGGTTACCACCGAAGACATAATGCACCGAATTGTGCTGATCACTGGCGTCGGCTTCGTGGTGATAATCGACGAAACCGAGGAATATCGGCAGGAAGGCCAGCTGAATGTAGAAGCTGACAAGCGCCGGTTTTAAACAAACGTCCATATTTGGTATTTTCATTTTCGTTTGCAAGTAACTGGAGAGTTTTATAGCGTGGAAGGAGATAAAGGTGACTCGCGCGTAATAGATCGGATGTGTAATGAAATTTCTGGCGCCGGTTTCAAGTCAAACAAGCGCGAAAATAAACGGCGAACTCGCCATCCGAACAATGCGAACAATGAATGTCCTAATTCAGTAAAGTTGGAGTCGTTGTGGCGCGACGCGACCGGTATTGTGTGTTTCGGCATAGTTTGTTTCTAGTTTATTTTTGGAATCTCTCCCAGTGATCTAACCTCTTTGGCCTGCGATAATCCGCGCATAAATCGTTTTGGATGTGTGCGCGCAGGCGACAAATTGTTGAGAGGGTTAAAAATCTACATATATGCATGCATGTGGAGATCGAATCAAAGTGCTTCAAGTCGAACAATATTCCAATTTTGGTGTGCGATGCGGCCGACAACCACACCGCAAAGTTTCGAATGTCTGTGACAACAATCAACAATGCGAATCAACAATTTAATACTGGCCCGGACCGCAATTTAAAGTTTTGTCGACGAGTGCCCCCAAAAATTGAATCGATATCTCCACGTTTGCATAATATTCTATTGTGGTTGTTTGTTGTCGTCGGAATAATTACCTCTGCAATCAACAAATGTGAGCGAGTAATAAATACTCACATGTAGAATATTATAGTGTTAATATTTCATTCTCACACCAGTTTAGCACTGCGCATGCGCGTGCGCGCAATATGGTTGATTGTTTACATCCGCTTTGGAATTTTTTCCCCCGCATTTCCATAAACTATGCAAAACTGAATTCAGTATGGAAAAGTTTGAAAACAACTAGTGGCGCTTGTCAACACGCTTGCTGCGCTGTCCATCGCCGAAAGTTTCCGACCCGTTCGCTCGTACAAATTTGCATCTCTGACTGAATTTCAAATGCCGTCGACGTCACACATGCCACTGAACTTCTATATGCGAATATAGTAGGTAGCGCACATTTGCCCGAATATGCCATCGCGGCGTGCACGAGTCATTAATTTTGTTTCGTCACAATGAGGATTCCATCAATGCGCGCATCGAGTATAAACAAAGCGATTTCAATATCTCCGAAATACAACACAGTCTTTACAATCGGTGCCCGATAACGACCTGCCGCCGCTACGCGCGGAGCCAATCATCGTGCGCTACATAATGGCGGGTGGCTTTTACAATGGTAATTCATCCGATCCTAATATGCCACGTCGGATGCTTGGACTCGACCAAGCGACGGCGGTACGCTCGCCGCCACCGGCCTCGGGACACGCATGTATATTTCATGCGAAGTGATAAATGATCGCCCGGCTCGATAATGGAGTATTGGATAATGGCGAATTCCCCAATGGATTGATTCAATTTTAATTGAATGCTGCATTGGGATAAACACCGGATTTGTTTATGTCGTGTCGCTGCGATGCGCGATTTGGGAGCGCAAAGCGCAATCCTCGAGTATCGAGGACGCTTCCCGCACAGATTGGAATTGTTTATTAAATTTCCTAAAGGCCCGCAATCAACAATGCCATTCAACTGCACCAGCAGCAAGTGGAAACAAACAAATCTATTTCAAGCAGGTATAGAACTCAAAATTTACCCTAAAACGCCCCTGGAGTATAGAGAATAAATTTTAACTTAGGCAGCCCAATGTACACTAGTGCAGCATTTTTATTTCTATAATTTTTCAACACTGATCGTTTAAGACGTTTGCGTCATAAATTCAAGTTACAAATAGACGACCGGTCACTACCCCCCGGTTAGCGAGCACTCGTATACTCTTAAAGACTTATATTTTGCTCTGTCTGGCTGGAGGCGGCATGAAAGAAGTTTTAGTTTGCGCGACGTACTGATTTTGCTGAATCCATGCTGGTAATATGCGAAAGTAATGGCGCCACTATAAAACCGCGCCCGTGGCGGAGACAGCCGCCGCCACCGCCACCACCAACACCAATACACACGCCGCAACGCTTGTTTCATTTGCGCTCGGCGCAAGATAAACAGAAAGTAGTAGTTCTTAGATTAAATTTAAGTTAGTTCTTACAATTTACGCGCGCAAGTCGTTCATGTGGTATTAAAGTGTGGTATTAGGGGCGAGACGCGGGAGGCGCGACTAATAAGAATATTTATGAGCGCGATTTGCAAAAAGCGGAAGTTGTGCGAGACGATGACTGCGCAATGGTGAAATGTAGCGTGAGAAATATCTCTATAAAAGTACCGGTTAGGATTTATTTGAGTATAATACTGTTTATTTTATCATGAATTTCTGTCACAATAATAAAATTAATCATTCAATCAATCAATGACAGATTACATTAATGTAACACTTAAAAATTGTGTTTTATCTTGACGCGGAATGAAATTAATTCGTTTGAACTCGTGTTATCACTCGAAATTGATTCTTTTTCATTTTGAAATTTTCTCTCTGCTGTGAAATTGGATTAAATAAACTTACTCGGATAAATTTCCTTTTCATATTTCGAATCATAGCTGGCGAAGAGAATAAAGAGCACCACGAGGATGATCTGCAAGCACAGCACGATCAAAATGTCCCTTCGCTTCGCCCCAAGGGCGCCGCTAAAATCGAATATCATTGTGTGCGTCGTGTCCGCCGAATCAACGAATATTCCACGGGATTAAATTATATAAGCGGAATTTAATTATGACGAACACATCTGTGCCGTTTTTCACTTCATAGATTATTTTAATCGATGATTAAACACCGCGCGCACTTTATTTACGGTAATTTATCGCGGATGTCGGTCAATTAGCGGCCGGAGAGAAGAATCAGTAACTGCGACTCGCTCATGCCGATGAATAGAGAGCACTGCTAATAGTCCTTGTATACGTTTGACGGTTTATTTGAGCATCACTTGTTAATCGCGCATAAAGCAAGCCCAGAATTGCGAAAGTCGTCGAGGGCTGTTGACGGCGACTCACCACACGTACAGGATGTTCGCGAATCGTGTCGAATAAAAATTATTCATTTGAGTAGGCAAAGGGGGACTCGTGCGGTGTTTTACTCTTATCAATTCATCTGATTAATGCACTATCAGACTCGCGGCGTTGGCGTTGATGTCGAGAAGCTGTCAGAGTGTGGACGTCCTGTTTTCTAGCACTAGTTTGACTAGAATGATATTCATGAGCCTATGTTATGCCCTACGACAACCCTCTTTATATCATCGCGACACGCGGCAGCGGCCCGCGTGACTGATGATGATGATGATTTGGAGACTCGCCCGCACTCGACGAAAACGCTGGACTAACGAGAGTAGCGCGAATCGCCGCTCTTTCGTTATTACTTTTTTCTTCGCTGCACAATAAAGTCCAGAAACGTTTTGTTCGCGGTACTCGCTTTGCGCACAACTTTCTCGAAGCTTTTCTTTAATAGCGTGTTGTGTGCCCGAAGGAGACGCGGCGAACTTTTTGACGAATGGGATGCAAGAACGCTTCGTTCATAAGTAATTTGTTTTCGACCTTATTATGTTGTTGACAAGTTATTTACTATCCGCGCACGAATCTGTTCTCTGGGTTTTTTTTACAGGCTTCGTATTTTTTCGAAACTGCATTGTTTTGTGCGTATATATTTATTTGCCATTAAAATGTGGGGTGTATTCACGCATGTGTAAACACAAATGTTTACGTATTCTCATCGAGAAACGAGACAAACACGTAGCTTATGTAATTTCGAAAAAATTGTAATTTAACGCAATTTAATTTCAAATTGAATGCAATTTTGATCAAAGACGCTCGGATAAAAACAAAACAATTTCATCAAATTGCTTTAATTTCAAGTTTACGGTTAGGCATCCATTTAAATATCCTGTACATGCAGAATTTATATATTGCTTGTTTAAATATTAAGCAAACAGTATTCTCTTAATGTAATTACCACCGTGGCGAGAGTGATAACTAGTTCAAATATTAATGACGTAATGTTACAGTTTATGTAATGTATTTTCGCGGATGCGTTCTAATCATCGCCGCACTACGAGATGCCTCATTTGCTTCACTTTACAGTTCACACGCGCTGTATATGTTTGCATTAATAATAAAATTTATATCCACATTTACAATATTAACCGTTGAATTTTTAAAATTTATCATTTATTTACACGTAATTACTATCAAATAATCCTAACCAAAGTTTACTGGTAGAATACTGCGGAATATTGACATATGCCACGCCATCTGGTGTCTATTTACGGAATTAATTGATTTATTTGCTAAATACGCACAAAAACATGTTTTTCGATGTGTTTTTAGTATTATTTATTGGTTATCTGATAATACTCGTTAATATTGTTGTAATCTTGGATTAGTTACATCAATAATAATGATTTAACGACGACATGACCTACATGTGTCGCCATGTTGAATTCAAGACGACAACATAGCCTACATTTAACATGGCGACGATGGCGAGCCAAAATAATTTAGCATGTACATAATAAACCTAATTAACAATCGCTACGTCTTAAATTTGGCTGCTGGATATTATTTTAACTTCATTGTGTAATCGTCTTTTGCATTATTTAGTATTCAATTTGTTATTTTTTCGTCTGGCGCGTAAAGTGTGGTTTTGTTATTTTTCGCTCGTCAAAAAATGTCATAAAAACACGCGTGTTTGATGATTTTTTGTTAATTATACATAACCTATTGCAAAGGTTATTGAGTGACCTTTGCCGTGAGCAAATTACGCTAAAAAATGCAAAAATGAAAACAAATATTTTAAATACCGCACATAAATAACACATTTCGCGGTCTATCGAAGTGTAACTTTTAAAACCCTTCGTGCCCACCCTCGACCCGGACGTGTGTCTGTAAAGGGGATCGAGTTCCGCCGCCGCTACCGCCTCCACCACCGCCGAGATACGACCGGAACGAAATGAGTTAATGGATTACCTCTCCGGTGGGCTTAAAGTAATACGCATTATTCATATTTTTCTTATTAATTTTGTTTCGGTCGGCGCGGTGCGACGCAGGCGGGCGTAATTAAGTTAATGAAGTGTTTGCCGCCGCTTTTTCTATTGCGAATCTCGTGCGGACGGTGTGACTGCCGCATAAAGAGTCAAAAGGAAATTTTATAATAAATACTGTTTGCTAGTGCCACCAGCGGCGGTTCTATTGAGGACATAGAAACTTTTTCACATTGAATACTTTTATGTTTTAATATTAAAATAAATTTTAATTTAAAAATTTTCATAATTCTGCGAGCAAATTAAATAAAAAGTAACTGCATATGATATTCTAATTTATTTACACTCCGAGAGATGGAGCAAGGCGTCTTGCATCGAAATAAATATTTTTGCATTGTTTACAAATACAAAACAAGATAAATTCGATGTTTCCTGATAAATATTCAGCGTATTTGTAAATTTTTATGCTTTATTTACATTTTAAGTAATTTTAAAATACATGTAAAGCCTTTTCAGACCCCTGCTTATCTTGAAGCGTATTAGATGAATTTGTGAATTAAATTAATCATTAAATTCCGCTCCCCAGGCGTTTCGTTATGATTACGAGTGTTCATTAGCTAACAGCTCGAGTGTTAATAGTCAAATATTCTATATGCGCGCATATACTCTGTTCGTGTTCGCTGGAAATCATAAAGAAAAATAGATGAAAATTTCAAAATAAACTCGTCAATTGCTATTGCACTATAAAGAATAAAAATGTATCATTTTATTACTTAAAACGTGTGTGCGAGTGTATTAGATGACTGGGCAAGTACAAATTGAACCTGGTGTTTACGCCCTTTTTGCTATAAACCCTTGGAGTGTTTATCGACTCGTTTAGAAAGTTTACGGGCGATATTTGTTGACAATTTTATCGATTTTATGCGCACTCGACGTAATGACACGTAGTTAACTGGCTTTTTCCGTAGTTTTATTTCTCATTACACGAGATAACGCCAGAAATAATAAGGTGGTGCTTTTATCGTGCTCGTATAGAATTTAATTTGTTTAAATTATGCACGAATATTAAAAATTGAGCGAGTTTTTAATTTAAAACACTTGGTATACGCGAGATAATCTAATGTATGTTTGGAATATTGTGTTTTATGGTTAGAGAAGCTAATGAACACTTGATTCACATCGATTGCCCGTCGGCGGTGCGGTGCGCCGCCCCCCAACGCGACATTTAATAATAAATTTAATTTTGAATTCATTTGCGTCGCAGCATGCCATTTGCACATCAAATTCGCGCAGCGCGAAATTGAAATCGAATATTAACATTATTATTAGCGTCGTAGATTAATAGTCTTGCGCACAACAAGAGTGCCTAAGTCGAATATTTAGTGCTCTTACGTTTTGCGCGCAGCGGCAGCGCATAATTAAAAATTAATGGAAATAAAACATGCGAGAGACGACGCGTCGCGCAAAGTACTTCCGCATACATTTACGTGTGTATACGCTGAATGCAAATACAGGTAGGTATAAAATATGTGCGCGATTTGTTATGTGCAGAATTGATTGTAGTGCACATGCACGCATTGCAAAACACATGTTAATGCATATGTCACGAGGAACAGGGCGATAGTTTTGCATCCTTTGCTGCTTTGCAAGCATATTGCAAGCCGGTGGCCGAGGCGAGAACGGAATGACACAGATAACGACACCGGCATGCTGGCGGAGGCGGCAACCGGCTCTTGCAGCGTAAATGATGAATGATAATGGCCGCCGAGCGCGCTCACGGCGATGCTGCGTGTTTTTGACGTTTAATAACAAATATTAATTGATTTGTGATGTGAGCACTGTCGAGTGCCGCCGCCGACGGACGGACAAGAAGCGCCTGGAGGCGGTGTGGCTATGTTTCGCTAACCAGTACATCACTCAACTATAGCACCACCATAACAATTAGTATAAACAACACTCCAATCTATTCACGTCAATGTTTATTTCAGAAATTAATAAAAGTCGAAAACAATGGTAAAGGAAATTTTCTTGAAGATTTTTTTATATAAAATATTTTAAAATTTTAATATTAAATTAATTCTAAATAAGAAACAAATAAAATTAATATTGAACTTTATTTTTGATCCGCGAGATGGCGTTAGGCGTATTGTACCGCAATTAATATATTTTGTATTGTTTACAACATGCAATCTTACTAACAAGATAAAATTCGAGGTTTGTGAAAAATATTCACCGTAGTATTGCTGGATTTATACAATTCTACGTTTTATTTACATTTTAAATAATTTTAACTTTTACACACCGATGTGGAAAATATTATATTTCCGCTAGAAAATTCTATTTTCTAATTTATTAATAAAGTTAATCAATAAAAACATTAAAGCTTATTAATAATACACGCCTACGTTCGATTAATATTCGATAAGGTAATTTAGGCCGGCGTGAAATAAAATACTAGACTTTATTCACACGTTTGCGGAGCGAAAGTTGAATTTATGTTAAAGACATAATACTTAGAGTGAATTATTTTCAGATCTGCGCACTAATCTCGCTGAAAATTTCACGATGGCCCTCATGAAAATTGCATTAGCGCGCCGAGGTGGAAGTTGCATAATGTCGACGCGGCGGCGGCGAAATCTTCACTCAATTTCATTGTGACTGAAAATTGCAATATAGCGGCGAAATAAAGTTTTCATGACCATAAAAAGCTTTTAATAATATAAGAGCTGCAGCGCCACTACAATGCAAACGCAAAAAAATGAGTTAACTAATGAATATTACCCGAAAAAATTCACAATTATCGATTTATCAAACAAAATGTTTTTTTTTAATTTTAATTTTAAAGTTGTGATGCTGCAGCATGTTTATACTTCCTTCTGCATCGTGTATATTTTAAGTTATTGATTTCCATGGATATCAAGTTTAAATAATTAAGTAATACTGACCTGGTTGTAAGCGAAACATAACCAAGCGTTTTCGGTACGTTACGAGTCATTGGGCTGTTTTGATTTTAATACAATATGATAATGACGCGTTTGATATGGACGTAAGCGATGTTGGTGCACCACTACCACTCCGCGCGCTTTGGTCGTAAATAGATTTCGTGTTGTGTGCAAAGTCATGTGCATCCGCTCGGTAATGCGATGGTATGCGCCGCACGAAATAGATACAGGGATGCAGGGCGCGTAATGCGTTTGGCACGTGAAATTAAAACAAAGCTGTGTGTGCGGGTGGAGGTGCACACTGCGCATGACATCCAACAACGGCAGAAATTCAGCGCGCCGTCGACACACACAACATGCACATAGATTCGACTGTGTGTTCATTATGCTCTCGCCATTTAATCCCCGCCAGCAGTTTCGTTCGCATGAACTTCGGCTCACACCTCCGTTTGCGG